TATGGGTCCCTCCCCGGGCGGTTCCCACGGGCTGTGGCGGGGCCAGCCGAGTCACTATCTCCAGTGCCATTACTCTGGCTTAGGGTAGAAGGACAGATGTTGCTGACGGAGGCAGAAGGGAATTCTTCAGGGGGCTCATCAGGCCAGCCGAACTGCTCCTTGGTCTTGCCGTAAATTTTTACAGCATCTATCATGGTGACACCTGCTGGATCCACCGAGGCCCCAACTGCAATGAGCAAAAGAAGCCTTTAGGAAGCATGTTCTAAGAGCTAGCATCATACTCCATATCAAAGACCAGATGAGCTTGGGCAAAGCAGTAAATCACAAAATTATAGACACTGAGGAATTTTCTCTCTTGAGACATCAGCAGCACTTTAATCATGTATAGATACTGTTCCTACTGACTATAGGAACAGTTCGATGGGTCAATGAGTCTATTACATCTCCTACTCAGAAAAGTCCCTAAATGTCACTTGGAAGATCCTCGAAGATTTTGTCCATCATCCCCAGAGGTCTCTAAGCATTTTTTGGTTCAAAGTGCAGGTCTCCACCACTAACACTAATAGCAACTACTTCTAACAGAAAGGATATTAGATAAGTGGCCAGGAAAGAAAATCTTAAGAATGTACTTTATAGTATAAAGGCGTTGTTTTCAATTTTGCCAGAGAGTACTTGTACTCATCTGAGATAGAGAGACAGAGAAAGTGAGAAACGCACCCCTTCCCCTACCATGGGGGAAGCCATGCCATAATTCCTTCTCCTCCATCTCTCCCTCCTCTCAGGATTTTGGGTATGCATGTATACGCATCCAACATGTTTTTCAAATTCACACCACAGGCTGGTCCAGGTTTAAAGTTTGTAATGGCATGGCAATACATGTGAACACCTCCGCGTGACGTGTGACCTGAGGCCTGCATCTGCACGTTAAGAAAGCCTGCACCTTCATACACGGGTCTTGCCTTTTCTGTCTCACCACAGGAGGAGCCCCACCACTGAGGGCCACCCACCACTACAGAAGTGAAGACTCAACTGAGTTTTATACTATCCACACCCCTCCTGTTGTCAAGTACACGCCTTTGTTGTCACTTTGCTTCTTTTATATCTCAAATAAAGCACCAGGTTTCCTGGGAGCAGAGACCACAGAGCAATCAGTAGAGCAGAGTGATACCAACTACAGAGCCAGACAGTGGCTGCCCCACAACAAACGGCAGTCCTAATGAGAAGGCAGAGTCCACACCGGGAGTGGTGACTCACTGAAGAGGCTCAGCTTCTTATCAGCTTGCAAGGCTTCTTCTCTAGTGAAGGGGAAGTCAAACCAGCGTGAGCGACTCAGGTTAAGCTGCATAGTTCTGCCGAAGATCTCGATGTATGACGGAGCCCGTTCAATCGCCTGGGTCCCAATCTGGATCCGCATGCCTGTCATTACCATAGTGCTGTTGTTGTTACTTATCTCAATGGTGAAGCCGCCGGGCTGCAGGGAATAAAGGCACCCATCAGGAAACTAACAGAAGTTCTCAAGTTCTGTTAGAGTCTGAATCCTTCCTGACAGTCTCGATGTGTGAGCCTAGCCGTAGGGTGCGTGCACTCATCAGAGACACAGAGACGGTGAGAAATCACCCCCTTGGGGGTTGGCCACACTGCAATCCCGTCTTCTCCATTCTCCTCTCGGGATTTTGGGCACACACACACACATGCGCCCAGCCTGAGTGAGTTTCAAGCCGCTAGGCCCAGGACTCAAACTGTACTTGGGCATGTGGTAGTCCAGTGCCACAACCACTACACCGCCTGCTGGCCCCAACTTCTTTGCTTTTAAGGATGGGAAAACAGAGGCAAGAAGATTGCTTTCACTACCAGCCTTCCTACTCCCTAACACAACAACATCCACTTGTCTCTTACACAGGAACCCCACTAGTAATGGTGGAAACTAGCTATGGGCTGGAGCCTTACGGCATGCCAAAGACCACTGCATGTGAACTAAGGGCTAGTGACTGTGAATGTGTGCTTTCTGCTCGCATCCTAAAAGGAGATGTGCTCTCAAACCACTCTGTGTGCAAGTCCTTCTACCAAGGACTGAACCCAGCTTAGTACAGTCCTCACCTTGGTGTTGGCCACATACATGCCGGTAGAATTCAGCCGGTGCTTTATCTGCTGCGCATTATAGACCTGCAGGAGGTCGTTACCACCGAACTCCACATCCGTCAGCTGCTGGTTGTGTTCAAAGAAGTCAATGGGGAAAGTCACCTGGCTAGAGGTGCGGGTTGCTGTGGGGAACAGTACCAGATTGCCAGAGCTCTACCCACTCTGCTCCCCTCCACAGGCAGATCCCCCCACACACCAAGCCCACAAGCCCACGCACAACTCTTTCCAAGCAACCTCTGGAGTATAATGTTGCATTAATGTGATGGCTACATGCAGTCAGCTCTCCACTGGTCATTAGCCCTACCCACAACATGACCTGGCCATATCAAGAAATTCAGTGTTTCTGCTAGGGGTGCAGTTAATAGCAATGAGCCCTCTTATAACTGGTTTATCTATTTATTTTTTAATGATTATTTAATTTTACTTAGAAGTTGTTTTTTTTTTCCTTTCTTTTTTTGGAGAGGTTTTTTTTTTTTTTTTGCTATAGGGCACGTGCTCACCAGACAGAGAGAGACAGAGAGACAGAAAGCAAGAAATCACCCCCCCGGGGGATGGTCACACCACAATCCCTTCTTCTCCATTCTCCTCTCGGGACCTTGGGCACACATGCACACACACCTGGCGTGAGTTTAAGTCACCGGGTCCAGGACTCGAACTGTGGTCAACTATGTGGGAGTCCAGAGACATAGCAATTACGCTAATTGCTGGTCCCATTTTTTTTTTTTTAATTTGCTATAGAGCATGCATGTTTACCAGAATAAGAAAGCAAGAGAAAAGAGAGAAAGCAAGCCTCCAGGTCTGGAATTTGAACCTCAGTCAGTCATGAGGGAGTTCAGCACCTTAACCACCATGCCATCTGCTGGCCCCATAACTGGTTTATTTCTTAATTTTTAAAATTATTTTTGAAAGAATTATTTATTATTATTATTATTAACTTACTATAGAGCATGTGCGCTCACCAAAGAGAGGAAGTGACAAAGCAAGTCACCAGGTCCAGGACTCAAACCATGGTGGGCCAAGTGGGCGTCTATGCCTTAACTGCCATGCTACCCACTGGCCCTATTTCTTATGCTTTTTGCAACAAGGCATATGCGCTCTCCAGAGAAAACAGTGAGAGGGAAAGTAAGAAATCAATCTCCAGGGGGTACAGCCATGCCACAATCCCTTCTCCATTCTCCTCCTGGGATCTTTGGCAGGCACGCACACACACCCAGTGTGATTTTCAAGCCACCCAGTCTGAGACTTGAAGCATAGTCAGTCATGTGGGAGTCCAGCACCTTAACCACCACAACTGGTTTTTTAAAAAACAGTAACATTACTTCTTTACAGGAGGGTGAGCTATACACCATTATCTAGAACAAGTTTAAAGTTACATGAAGATCCTACAATGTTCTTTGCTTGGCCAGATTCCCTTACTCCTAAACTCAAGCTTTCCACTTCCTGAAGAGGCTGCTATCAACCAGGAGCCAGACCAACAGCTCAGAGACCTGTGATGGACTCTGCTCGATGCAGTGGGAAACTAACCAACTGAAAGGACAGACTCTTCAATAGGCCCACCCTGCAGGCAGGCATTTACTCTAAGCCCAGAGGAAACAATATCTCAACCAAGGTCTAAGACATAACTCTTTACTGGGCACCAATGAATGGCTGACCTAAAGCAAACAGCCAGTGGGTGCTTGCTCTCTGGAACACTGACACTGATTTTCAGCAAATTGGTTTGCATTAATATCCCCAAATTCAAAAAATGTGCAAGCAGAAGAGTCTGTTTTTTCACTATATTCACAACAGCCTATTCTGAGTCACTGTCTAGAAAACTGCCATTCCCATCTTCCCAGAGGTCTTCTGAGAAGGACCCTTACTGATTGTAGCCGTTTTGCGCTTCCGAACAGGCTTCATTATGCTGATCACACTGCTGGGCTGCAGGGATGGCTGGAGCCAGTAGGAGGTGTTCTCCACGTTGGCCATGTAGATGCGCAGGCTGCCGTCCTCACATAGCAAGATCATCGTCGTCCGCTGCTGCTCGTTGCAGGCCGTGTGCCTGATAGCAACCATGTCTTGGATCTACGAGGAGGGCAGGACGATAAGTGTTAGTCCCCCTGCCTATAGATAGGAACCCACAGAAAAAGGTAGAAAAGTAACTAGTTTTGTGGTCAATTTGGGAGTGCAAAGGGTGACAAAGAAAAGGCATCTAGGAAGAAATCGATAGAAAACCTTTTATAGGCCTCCACTGAAAGGGAAGGGAAAGTGGTATAAAAATAAAAAGATAAAAACAGACCAGGTTTACAGAAAAAAAAAATGGGAGAATCTGGCACTGACCTTTGCTTTAGCAGGCAGAGTCTTAATCTCCTGGATGAGAAAAGTATCTGGTTTCACCATGACTACTAGTGGCACACCTGTTGTTTGCTGCACACAACACACCAAGCCAGGGTGGTTCATCACCTCTGACCACTGACAAAGGGCAGGAGAAGTCTTACTGCCACCGTTGGAACTGCAGACAACAAAAGTCAGAGAGTCAATCACCATTTCATCATGATTTTCTGGACCTAATGACCGTCCTCTAACTAAATACATTAACTCTAGAGCAATATCCTTGACAAAAGACCCAGTTTATCCATAGGACAATTGTATTCCAAGTCACAAGCATATTCGCACACCCCAATGTGTGCTCCAGAGTGGAATTCTTTTTATTTTATTTATTTATTTTTTTTGAGAGATTTTTCACTATAGGGCGCGTGCACTCGCCAGACAGACAGAGAGAGACATAGAGACAGAAAGCGAGAAATCACCCCCAGGAGGGATGGTCACGCCACAATCCCTTCTCCTCCATTCTCCTCTCAGGATCTTGGGCACGCACGCACACGTGCCCGGCGTGAGTTTTAAGCCACCAGGTCCGGGACGCGAACCGCGGTTGACTACGTGGGAGTCCAGCGACATAGCCATTACGCTAACTGCTGGTTCTCCTGAGCAGAATTCTTATTTAGACTCTCTCATGCCAGGGTTCCTGGACTGAGGAATGGGTGGCCCTATGTACTTAGAGGCTGCCATCTACACAGGTCCATGGAGCTACCTAAGGCTGATGCCCTGTTATACTATAAGAATCTCTAAGCACAGGGCAAGCAGGTGGCATGGTAGTTAAGGTGCTGGACTCCCATATGGCTGACCATGGTATGAGTCCCAGACCTGGCGGCTTAAAATATCATGCCAGATGCATGTGCGTGTGTGCCCAAATCCCAAGAGGAGAAGTGATTATGGCATGGCCATCACCTGGGGAGGAATGATTTCTCACTTTCCCTCTCTTTGTCTTTGGCTAGTGTACAGATCTTATGGCCAAAACCTTAGAAAACATAAATAAAACTCCAAGCACACTAGATTGTGTGTAAATTGCTATCTACTTCATTTCACTTCAAGCCGAATGATTCCCAAATAAAGCCTGTGAGAAAGTGCTGCAATGGCTCTTAAATGGCAGAGAAGGATGGGGAGAGACCCTAAATCTCTTCTCCTTCCTCCCTAAATGGAACTCTCACTAGTTCACATGCCTCTGTGTTACCTGGAATCATGATGGAAGTCTCCACCTCCTAGAAATCCAACCAGGACTGTGGATACCTTGTTCTACTTACTGATAAATACTCCAAAATAAAAACTTAAAGGGTATTCTGGCAGGATGAATTCCTAAAAGAAATTTATGATTCTTTCTCAAAATGTAGCAATCATATTAAAATCTTGTTTGCTACCTTAACATAGGTTTTCCTTTTGAGTAACAGTCCCTACTTCCCAAAACTACCTCTTACAGCTTAGGGGTCTCCACAATGAAGGACAATTGCAGCAGTCAACCTGCCAACCCTGAATGCCGCTTGATTTTAATACTACCAAACAGGAAAGGGAGAGGATGCTGGAGAGATGTCCGTTTCACTAGACTCAGAATAGCTTGTGGTACCTGGGAGGCAGAGCAGAGAGGCCCTGCTGAAATGTGAAAGCTCAACACTAAATGCTCACCCCACCTTTTGATGTTGATGGGGAAGAGCTGCAACACCTCCAGTGTCGTCCTGCTGACGGTAGCTGCAAACGATTTGCCCTGGCAGTAGCTGAAGAACAGCATCTGCAACACGTGGGAGTAGTAGACGGACACACCACCGCCTGCCACCTGGCTGTTACTGTCCTGAGGGCGGAAATACACATCTGCATCAGCTTCTCGTGTTGCCTTGGCTACCAGTTTCCAGTTTATGCTGGTTACAGGTTTTAAGTCATTATTACATGCTCCACACCCTTAGCATGAGATCCCTATGGTAAATGTTACAAGTATCTTAAGAACAAAGAAACTTAAAGTTGAGTAAGTTTCGTCCCAAAGGATAAGAGGTTTTGCCAGTAGGTAAACAGAGCGAAAATGAAAACAAAGGAGTGGCTACATGCAAGCTGACCTTCAGGTCCTCGTGATTGACCTCCAGCACATTAGTGACATAGAAAGGTCCCTGCTGGGCACTACTGGCCTCTTCCATGAGTTGAGTATAGATGTACCCGGCCGAAGACATTATAACAATGATGTTCTTTCCTTCCTCATTAAAGAGGAACGTAACATCTCTTATCTTTGAGCTCGGTAGAAGAAAGTAGAAGGTTGGACTCAAGGCATCAACAGACAAGTCATAAATCTGCAAGACAGAAGAAAGACTAAATACAGGAGATCTATTTCACTCGCATTCCCAAAGTATCCTGGTAAATCCAAATAGGTGCAACCGGTGAGAAATGGACATTTACTCTCCATTCAAAAAGCACCTACAAAGTGTCGGGCACTCAGCATATCAAACGATTATCTTTCACTCCCTCTCAAGGAAGAAGTAAGGGAGAGATACACATGAATTCTGCAACAAGTACAGTCATAGGTGTACTTGGTACAGAAAAGGGGAGATACAGAATCGATTCACATTGCCTATACACAGAGCCTCCTGCTGGGCAACATAAAAAGCCACAGCATGTTTTTTATTAAATTTTTAATTTATGGGAGAAGCTAGTACATAACAGAGAGCAGACCTTCTAGATTTAAAAGCAAAACAATTCTAGCCTCATGTTGTCAAAGAGCTGTAATTGTACCTTGACAAAGTCTGCAGTGACGATTGCTAACTCGGTCTGGGAACCAGGTAACCACACGGCTTTGATAATGAAGTTCCCCGTTGCCAACTGGGGGTGCAGCACCAAGTGATCCGAAACAGAGCCTGAGCTACTAAAGGTGAGCACGTGGCAATCCTGTACAAGGTTGAGAAACAATGGTTAAAAGATGATCTGGAAAATAGGTTAATTCACTTCAGACTTCTACCATTTCCTTTTCTTCCAGAATATTCCCTGCCTTCGAGTAGCATTTAGACTATCTAGTAACATATTAAGGTTTCAAGAACACACAAACTGCTTCCAATATAGGAGAAATCTGGAAGAAATACTGAGAATAATTTCTTCTGAATTCTAGCTTTTAAGTTTTAATCTCAAAAGCAAACTTTTTAAAAGTGGTCCTGGGACCAGCAGGTGGCATAGTTGTTAAGGTGCTGGACACACCCACGTAGCTGATCACGGTTCGAGTCCTGGACCTGGTGGCTTGCTTTCGCACTTAATCTCTCTCTGTGTCTCTCTCTGGCCAAATTAAAATAAATGAATAAATTTAAAAATTAAAAAAAGAAGTGGTCCTGATGAGGCCAGTCAATAGTGTGGTGGTTAAGGCTAAGGAGACTAGATTCCATATGGGCAACTGCATAGTTTGAGTCCTCAACCCTGCAGCTTGAAACACAAGCCAGGCACATGTGCATGTGTGTCCAAAATGTCAAGAAGAGAATGGAGAAGAACTGCTGCATGGCCATCACCTTTGGGGGTAGGGGTGATTTCTCACTTTCTCTTTCTCTTTCTGTGTGCATGTGTGTGTATCTGTCTACCCTATAGCAAAAACTTAAAAAAAAAAAAAAAAAAAAAAAGTGGTGCTGGGAACAGAGGGGGAAGGTGAGTAAGGTTCATCACAGCCCAAGGTCACTGAACCCGGATGAAGATCTGTACCTTTAGTCCACAAACTGCCAGGTAGTCCTCCTTGCAGGGGTTTCCTGTGAGGCTCAGCACGGTAAAGGGAACTGGGGCAGAAGCCAAGCGGGTCAGAGTCAACTTCCTTTTGCTGGAATCAGCTTGCTTCAGGAGTGCAGACAGCTGTAGAACAGTGATCTGCAAAGGACAACTGCCAGTTTATGGTAAACCTAGTACTCTCAGAGAACACAAAGCAAATGAAAACTTTCAACAGGAGTATCAGTTTGCAAGCTTTTCTGCAGACATGTCTCTTAGGAAGACCACCAATATGAGCCTCTGTTTCTCCTAGCTGAAAGATGTAGAATGTCGTTCATTCCTGCCTTCCAATGAGGACAGACAAAAATGAAATCAGCCCCTCTTCGTAGAATTATTTCACAAAATATCTAGATGATTGCTATGTGCCATTACCCTTTTCCAGCTTTTTTGAAACTGTCTCTAAAATTATCTTAGAGCTATTTTGAGGACTCTCCATATTTTCACTTAAGATGAAGTTCAAAAAACCTTAGTAGCAAAGGAGAGGACAATGGAAAGACATGAGTTAAGATGCCTAGCACTCGGGGCCAGCAGACGGCTTAGTGGTTATGTTGCTGGACTTCCACATGGTTGGCCACTGTTTGAGACCCAGACCATGGCTTGAAACTCATACTGGTCATGTGTACGTACTTGTCCAAAATCCCAAGAGGAGATGGGAACCAGCAGTTGGCGTAATGGCTATGTCGCTGGACTCCCACGCAGTCAACCGTGGTTCGCGTCCCAGACCCGGTGGCTTAATACTCAACACTGGGTGTGTGTGTGTGTGTGCGTGCCCAAGATCCCGAGAGGAGAATGGAGGAGAAGGGATTGCGGCGTGACCATCCCCTCTGGGGGTTGATTTCTCGCTTTCTGTCTCTCTGTCTGGCTGGCGAGTGCACGTACCCTATAGCGAAAACCTCTCAAAAAAAAAAAAAAAAATCCTAAGAGGAGAAGGGATTGCGGAACAGCCACTCCCCTCAGGGGGTTATTTCTCCCTTTCTCCGTCTGTCTCTGTCTCTCTGGCAAGCGCACACACCCTATGGCAAAAAAAATCTCCTCTTTAAAAAAAAAAAGCCTGGCACTCTTCCAATGTCTACTAGTTCTACAGAACAACAGAATCTTCCCTGTGTCCTCAGAAGGCAGAGAAGGACTAGACAAGGAGCAGTCTTATGAAGACCTCTGCCTCTCAGCTCATGCCCTACAGAGTGAGCAAACAAGGCAAGACCAAGAGCCAAGCTGTCCTAGGCAGGTTATGACCTTTTCCTGGGGCTTAAATAACATGGTCCGGGTGGGAATTTACCAATAAGAAACATCTTTTTCCTAATTATACTGCCTCTACATCTAATCAAGTAACTCAGAGTGCAAAAAGAAAAGTTCAATGTGCTCTGTTCTTAAAGTATTCTCGGAACCCCGTGGACTTTTCCCCACAGAGGGCTAAGCTAAGAATGGCCATCTATCTGTTTGGCTTAGTGATTAAGATAAACATAACTGGACCAGCTGGTGGTATGATGGTTAAGGCAGCTGGATTCAACATGGCCAACAGCGCAGTTCAAGTCCTAAAATGACAGCTTGAAAAACACACTGGGTGCATCTGGGTGGTGCTCAAAATCAAGAGAGGAGAATGAAGAAGGGACTATGGCAGGGCCATGGTCCCGGTGGGTGATTTCTCACTCTCTGCCTTGAGCTCTCTCTGGAAAGCACATACAACCTATAGCAAAACTTCAATAAAAAATAAACATGACCTAAATTGAATGGGACAGAACTGGAGGACCCACCTTGCCCTTCTCGTGGCTCACAGCCAAATGCTGGCGACGCCCATGGGGGGAGGAGAGCACACACATAGCCACACGCCTAAGCACATGGGCGCTGATCAGCTGCCGAATAGTCTGGCCCTGGTCTCCACTGTAATTCATGCGAACATTCTCAAAGGCACCTTCCTGGGAGCCTAGGGTGGGAACCTGCAGAGGGAAGAAGCACAGAAAGTAGAGATGTTAAGGCATGTAAGATGAACTCAAAGATCTTCAAGTGACTGGGATACCAAACAACCTAGTGACCCAAAACAATATGCTCAACCTCCCACCCGTCGATGGCTTGGCAAATCTGTCAAAAGTTAGTGTCAGCCCAGTAAGGATAGTGTGATGGGCTTTCCATAAGCTAAGCCTAATCAACAGAAAGAACTGGCCTTTTAAAAATGTGAAAATGTCCTTTTCTTATAAAATGACAGAATCATCAGTCAGAATTTACTTTTCATTGTTCTAACCTGGCAAAATCAACTCAGCAACACCATGGGTCACCGAGCTTACCCCAGTATTTTTTAGCTTCATCTCAGTATCTAAAAATCTAAAAAAAAAAAAAAAGATCTAAAGCTGTGACTGATCTTTAGTATCAGAATGTGTGTATGTACCCGTACATTTCCAAGTGACTGTCACTCCCTTGCAAAGTCACCCTGTGTGATCTACCAGGCAAGGACCTTGTCCACAGTACTTACTCACTTCCCTTTTGGAATCACCACCCCTTACTCTCCGCTACATAGTGCTGCCAGAAGAGGCTGGGAAGACCTCATCAAGAAGTCTTGCATATTATTTGACAACTGCAGTGAGCTGTATGGGCACAGCTGGGTACTACTTTATAGTATGTTCATTCTACTCACTGGGGTTTATGCCTAGGGTCAGACGTGGGTTCATGTATAGGTACATGTCAGCTGTGCTAGCTATTGGATATATTTAGACTAATTAAGTTCATTGGCAGAACAATTGAATGGGGGGGGGAAGGCATGGAGGGCCAACATGGGTGCCAGGGACAATGGGGGAGGAGGATGGGACATAGCAGAGGGTGGGGGATGGGGAATCAAGGATGGCAAAACAAAAGGCAAGGTATGCAGGACATAAGAATTGGAAAATTATTTGCTGAGAACATGTATGTTGATATGCTTGATTGAGCCAATGCACAGTGTATTTTGGATGGAAAATTTATTTGTGTGTTGTGATGGTGTATAGTGAATTAATGTAGAAAATGAATAAATTTAAAAAAAAAAAAAAAGAAGTCCTGCATATTTAGGGCTGAGCAACAAGTTTTAAAGTAGATAATGACTACTTTAAAACCCATGCAATGTGAAGAATTGAAGGACAAGTATCCAAAAGATTATAAACAGGGGCCAAGCCATGGTGTAGTGGTGAAGGCACTGGATCCCACACAGCCAACTGCATGGTTCGAGTACCAACCAAGTACATGTGTCCAAGTGCCCAAAATCCCAAAAATGGGGAAAATGAAGAGGACTACAGCATGACCATTCCCCGTTTGGTGGGGAAGGGTTTCTCACTTCCCCTCACCATCCCTCTTTTTTCCTGTCTCTCCTGGGCAAGTGCACATGCCCTCTGATTAAAAGCAAAAACAAAAAGAAAAACAAAAAATATATAAGCAAATGAGGACAGGTTTTACAGCCAGATCAACTCCTACAAGATACAATAAGGAACTTTTCTTTATACATAGAATAAATTTCTAAATATTAAATTGCCCCAAAATGAAGTTTCCCTTCTCTTAGGAGTTCATATATTTACATAAACTGAAAAGAGGATTTCTTCTCAGGTTGGCTCAAATGGACCCTGGGTTTCCTTCTTTTGAAAGCACCTCGGACACTGATTTTCACCATGCTCACGGTAAGATTTAGGGAGGTCATTCCAAGTCTCAATGGCCAGGGATGAGCCAGTCCAAGTCTGCCCCTCAGGGCATCGGCACACTCTGGCATCTTAGTAAATCTGCTGGTTCCTACCAGCCGCGCACTGCGTGACCCTAACGCACTCACCATCAGCTGGTCTGTCATCTCAACCCCCTTGTCCACGGTATGCAGCTCACTGAGGGCCTGCTGGGCCCGGCTGCTGCTCCCCACAGCCGAAGCCTGCTGAAAGTTGGTCTGAATGGCATCCATGAGGAAATTGAGCATGTCCAGCACAAGAGGAGCGAAGGAGAAATTGGCCTGAGAAACATTAAAATACACGGTGAGAAACAAATTAAAATAATGAGTCACGCTCGTAACAATTTTGCCAATAATTGTCTTCAGAATCCAGTTGCCTCACTTCCGGCTAGATATTCAATCCATCAGCTCATTCTCTCCATAATCTTGGACTTGATTCCAATCAATATGTTATGGTGTTACGGACTCTAGAAAAATCTTTGCATACCAAGGGTCCCACATAGACACTCCAATGCTCAAAGGTATCCATCACATAAAATTAGCTAACTTCTCTGTTATAGACCATCCTTGAAAAAACTGGAAAAATATAAACACTTAAGTCAGTTTCAACATTCTGTGCTTCAGCTGAGGAGACCTGGCCAAGAAAGAGAGCTCTAGAGTATTACAGAACAAAAACTGATCCTTCCACAAACCCCCAGTAATACTCCCAATATGTCACAGTCACAAATCCTTCCCTGGGACCTGACATACTGTGTGTATCCGCATTGTGAAAGTGGGCACACTGAGAAGAAGAAGAAAACGAGTCGTGAAGGGAGCCTTGTGCGTTGTTCACTCTCACACAGATCTGCCAGGCCCTGCACTCTGCCTACTGTCCTGGGCACCGTCAGCAAGTCCCACCTGGTTCTGCAGCTCTTCCCGGCAGCCCTCTACTGTACGACACAGGCTGCTCTTCTTAGGCTTCTCTTCATCGGCAAGCTTCCCATCACTGATGGTGACCTTGGCCTTGTCAGCTGCTGAGGTGCTGGCATGGCGGACCAGACTCTCTGAGACCCTGGGCTCACTCTGAAATGCCGATTCCTTCATGGTAGAGCTCATGCCACTGCTGGGAGTTCTCTTCACCAGTGCCTAGGGATGGAAAGCATCAGAGTCCGAGTCCCTGCCACGAACACAGATAAAAAACTGCCGAAGATCTTGGAGGTATCTGAACCAAAGGAGAAATCTGCTAAACAGCCAAATGTTTTCTAAAAGTCCTAATCTGGTCTTCATGGTGTTCATGTCATATCAAACTTACCTCATTCACAGCATCAAGCCTTGATTCTAACACCTGAAATTGTGGGGCAGTCTAAGGAAAAACTTACTACAGGCCGTGATGATAGAGAGCGCCAGTAACAAAGCTAGAAAATATTCCTAGAGTCAGGTACTGTGAAGGTGACTTGAGAATTTTCTTTTTCTTTTTTTAATTTTATTTATTCAATAGTTTATTGTAATTTGACCAGAGAGAGACACAGACAGAGAGAGAGCAAAAAAGCAAGCCACCAGGCCTGGTATTCAAACTGTAGTCGGCCATGTGGGTGTGTCCAGCGCCTTAATCACCACACCACCTGCTGGTCCCCAATGCGGGAATTCTCTAGTCTGGCTTAAGTCTATCTGCATCACTTATAAGTCACATGTTACAGCCCAGCCAAGGTTCCAAACCACTCACCAAACAGCTGCCATCTTCCTTGGCTCCACAGTCACAGAAGAAGGATCCATACTTGGCATAGGAAATCTCATGATCCTTGTGGCACACCTTGGCACATACCGTACACACACCGACCCCGTCAACCATTTTACAGGTATGACAGTGGTACCTACAAAGAACAAGACCCAGTAAATAATCTCAGAAGTCCAACAATCAAGGCCCAGCAAACCCTCACCTACAAGGAAGAACTACTCTTACCAATGCTGATTCATGAATTCTTTCTGTGTTATCGTAAAAGTGCACAGTTTATTGCAAAGAGAATCTTCATCCTTCAAAAATAACAAGTCTTTTTAATCAAAAGTATATCCTTCCACATAGATACTTTCTAAAAAAAATACCAGTTTCAACACCCTATGGAGAGTGAATAATCAGCTCTTAAACGACCAACAGAAACCTGTCCCAACTGGAAATAGTTAGGTGGCTGAAAATTTGCAGTAATTTCAGGTGAACTCTTAGGGTTTTGTAGTTAAGGAAAATAATAAACCTTATGCTTTCTCTACAAGGAACTCCCACCACCCCCACAAAGAACTCAACCTGAAAATTCCATTTTGAATGCAAAGATTAAGGAAGTAGGACAAGTGCCTCTGGATAGAAGAAAGGCATCTGCTTACTAAAAGGTCCTTTCCTAGTCCAGCCTAATGACAGTCTTTAGGAAATTGAACTGTAGCACTAGAAACCGCATGGCTGATTGAGGATTTAGATACCCAGATGGGTCTGAAAACATGCACGTGTGCCTAAGATCCTGATGAACTGGAGGGCTAGGGAAAGGGGACCACAGCATGACGAGACCCTACTGAGGGTCGTTCTTTATTCTCTCATCCTCTCCCTTTTTCTCATGTGTGCACATGTGCTATTACGAGTGACATGGACTTAGGAAAAAAGGTCTTCTCCTCAAGACATTGGATCCACTTGGCTTGCTCTGTAGGTCCATAAGATCAGCCCTGCACTAGTACCATACGGCCAAAGAAAGCAACAAGGACTGGGAAGTTTGGACGCTCACAAGGAGCTGGAAGAGACAAAGGATTATTAAGGTGTTAGTCATTACCTTCAGAAGTTAACTCACAGGTTACTTAGAACTTACTGAGTCCTCAGCCTGAGAATCTTCCTCTTCCACTGCCAACTCCTCTACCCAGTCTGAGTCCACCTCAATGGCACGTTCTTCCCCATCCACTGAGAGGTGACTTGGGCCTTGACCATGACTCTGGCTCAGGGCATTGGTGACATCAGCTAAGTAAGACATAATATGGCACGTGCACTCCAAGATGACCACATGCTGTAAGAGAGCACAACCCCAGAGAAACTTGAGTTCTCCGAGGTTTGTTACATAAACTGTGTTCCCTCAAGCTTTCTTCAATAAAGCTCAAGTTCAGAGAACTAGTAAAAAGGCAGAGAAAAACATGTCTTCAGTATCTATTTCCCCAGCTCTTACCCCTATTTCTGCATGTAGCTCATCAAATAATTTGTACTGAATCAGTATGCACTTATTCACTCTTAATCAAAATAATTCTTTACAAAGTCTTAAAAAATGAAGTAGAATTTAAATAAAACAGAGTGAAAATAAAGACTAAAACCATTCAAGAAAAGACCAGATTATAGTAAGTACGAAAAGGCTCTTACTTGCATTTTCGCTACCATTAGCACTTTTATTAACCATAAAAGAAAGTCATTTATATAATAATTATTGGGCTTCAAATTAAAGCAAAGGAAGAGGAGTAACTTCAAAGAGCAGGAGAAAAGTTTTCCAGCCCACCATTCAAGTGGTTCATCCTTTCCTGAAAAATTCCGATAATGGGGCCAGCAGGTAGCATGGCAGTTAAAGGTACTGGACTCCCGCATGGCCCACAGTTCGAGTACCACACCTAGCAGCTTGCTTTTACATTTTGCCCCTCTCTCCTTTCTCTCTCTCTCTGTCCCTCTCCAGTCAAATTAAAATAATAAATAAATAAATAAATAAAGTTAAAATAAACAGTACAATCTTCATTTTTAAAGAAAAACTTTTTAAAATTAAAATCCTAATAGGGCCAGCAGGTGGGCATGGTGGTTATAGTACCGGGCTCCCAGATGGCTGACCATGGTTAAGAGTCCCAGACTCAGTGGTTTAAAAATCACACCAAGAAAGTGTGTGCAATGCCCAAAATCTTGTGAGAAGAATGGAAAAAGAATTACAGCATGGCCATCTTCCCCCCGAGAGGGGGTGATTTCTCACTTTCCCTCTCCCTGTCTCTCTCCCTGGGGAGCATACATGTCCTATGGCAAAAATCTAAAAACAAAACTGAAAAACAAAACCTGATACTCTGGCATCAAGTCCTCAAATCTCTAGTTTCTCTACTCCACATTGTGATGTTTCAGTGCTTAAAGATGAACAGGAGTAGGGGAGAGATGAAGGTACTGGTGGAGCCAATGGTCAGGTATCTAAGCCACCCATGTCGGGATTACGGACTGGATGGGGAGGAAATGCCGGAATAAAGGGTATCTGTCAGCGTCTTACCCCTTTACTCAGCACAGTGACCTGAACCTTCAGAGAGCTTAAAGAATTATAGCATCTGGACTGAGCTGATGAGGAGGTCTGCCACCCCTCGTAACACTGACTCAAAGTGCACGATCAGCTTAAAGAATTCTAGCATCTGGACTGAGATGAGGAGGTCTGCAACCCCTCGTAACACTGACTCAAAGTGCACGATTTTATGACATGAGTATACCAAAACTTCCCAAAGCCTCAGGATAGCATGAATTCACTGTTTTGTTTCGTTTTTATGTGAACAGGTTTATTATTATTATTATTAAATTTGACTGGGGGGGGCAGACAAGTGAGAAAAGGAGGACTCTGCTAGATGTCTATTTACCAGAATACATCATTCCTATCCTTTCCATCCACCCAAAAGAAGCCGAGGGCATGCAGAGAGCAACTACACTTTCAGGTCTTTGAGTCTAACAGCCTTGTCCTCTGTAGGCTGGCCAGGGACAGAACCAAGAGAAAGGAGAGACTCCCAGCTGACCGCCAAGATAAGAATCATCTGTCCCCTCACTCCCCGCCTGCTGTCACTCATTTCCTACCTTTCCATGCATTACATTGGCATTCAGTTTCTCAACCACATTCTTCTGTGACAGGTATTTCTTACTGTCCCAAAGAAAGAAAAGGGGAAGGGGAGAGATAAAATCATCTAAGGAACCAAAGAAAGAAGGCATATTCATGAACCTAGAATCGGTCTGTCAAAAAGCCTTCTTACAAAACTATGTACCTCATTGCGTAGTGTGAGGTGCTCTGGTTAGAATTCTCACTGACACTTGGGATACTTTTCCCAAGATTTCTCTTGGTAAAAATGAAGAGGAAACTCTACTGAGGAAATAATGAATGGGACAGGGTCAAGATGATCTGTGAGTTACTGAAACCAGTGTAATTTTCCTGTACTGAACACAAGAGCACTTCATGGGGCTATTAACTGTTCCTCAAAGATTTTACCCATTTGATAAAATGAAAATTGATCTGTACTTTAAATTTTTTGCAGGAATTCAAAATTATAAAAGAAACCAGAGGGCCAGCCAGTGGCATGATGGTAAAGGCAGCTATAGCCCATACGGCCAATTATGCGGTTTTGTATCCCAGACTTGGTGACTTGAAAAACATGCTGGGTATGTGTAGGTGCACACCCAGAATCCCAGCGGAGAATGGAGGAGCAAGGACTGTAGCCTAGCCATCTCCCTCCGCCCATCTCCCCCCGCCCTAAGGAGGGCTGATTTCTCACTTCCTCCCCTACCCCAGCACACGCACTCTAGAGTAAATTTTAAAAAGAAACCATTAAAACTCATATAAAGTAAAATTACATTAAAAAATATATCAATATATATTATTAAGTAGTATTTCATCAAGTAGTCCATATCTTTAGTTTTTAGGCTAATAAACATGTTTCTTTAAAGAAAAATATAATAAAGAAGATGAAATCTCAAGTGAAAGGTCATGAGCTACCTCTCCTCAACCCAGAAGGCAGATTTGAGCTTCTTTGATTCTCTCTCTGAGCCACAAAGACAGGAACCTCCAACGTCATCACTTACCATCTGCTTAACCAGTCCACGGCAGCATTATGGAGCTGCAGGTGACCAGCACCTTGACCTGCACTTGCCAGGGTGGCCATGACAACCATGAGCTCAGGGAAGCCAGTCCCATCACCATTGGCCAGCATCTCTGTTGCCATCGGGGTCAGGGTACCAAGAAGAACAGCACATACACCTTCCCCAACTTGGCTGGTAGGAAAAAGCAAACTGGTGAGTGACCAACAGGAACCTCACTGTGTATTTCAAGTATGTAATAGCAATCAAAAACAACTTTTAAATAAAATATCAAATACATGACAACACATACTAATCCCAGCTTCGGATTTGACTGCTAGTACACAAAACATTCACCCTGGTTGCAAGCAATGGGCCACGTCAATCCAAAAGCTCCTTTCCATGGGGAAAATCAAGAAATGATACTAGATTTCCTGAGTCTAGGGAGAGGGAGGTATGAAAACACTGAAAATGCTCAAACTGAGGCCTGATGGAAAGAGAGCCACCAACACCGACGTATGGGGTAGTCGGGAAAGTCACAATGCATTTTTGCATGGAAAAACAGAAAAGTACATCATGACCTTCCCAACAACCCAGTACCTCTGGGGTTATCAGGGACAGGACAGACATGCAGTTGTTCTACCTGTTTTCCCGAACAATGTATGTGGTCAGTAACTGCAACAGCTGCCGGTTCTCCTGAATTATATCCAGCTGATCGGAATCTTTTGGGGGTGACGTCGTCATGCGGGTGAGCCAGGCCTGCAGACGCACAGGCTCCACGCAAGCCAGCTGTGCCAGAGAGCCACAGAGATGCAGAAGGCTCGGGTTAGGGCTCTTCTCAGCTACGAACAACCAAGAGGCTGAGGTCAGTGAGGAAGGGCAAGGGAAGGTCAGGAAAGGGCAGAATGGGAGCCAGGAAAGAAGAAAAGGCTTCAAGCAAGTTTTCAACTTCCTCCCAAACTTTCTCTGAGGGATTCTCTCCACTTGTTAGCGTTTTCATGCTGAAGTTAAACTCAGGCAGAAGATATGCACAGTATTAGCCGGACATCAAAGTTCCCATAAGAAGATTACTAAAAGCTGTCACTCACTCAGCTGGAAGAGTTTGGTGAAGAATTTCAAAACTCGGTTACAGAATTTAGCAGAGAGGTTCTCATTGGCTGTTGCCATCATGATCTGCACAAGTTCTCCACTGGGAGGCAGGAGGGGGGAAATGAAAGAATCACATTAAGCCTCACATAAAAGGCATCCGCTTCTATTTCTTCACAATCTCATCTCCTCTAAGGGAAATGGTCACTTACGAATCAACAACATGAACTATTTATGAAATCAACCCCCTCATCGATGACCTCAAGGAGTCAGCAACTAACCTAAGTCCTCCCCAAGTACAGAAACCTAGGCAGGCCTTAAGTATTATCTAAGAATACCTACGTCAACATATAGAGCTCTTTGCTTTCAGAATGCATTCAAAATATGTTTACTGAATAAAGTGAAATGCAGCTCACCTGTCAGAGAAAAACTCTTCCATAGCTTTACGAGCCTGGCTGCTTTCCAGCTGCTTTTCCAAATACTGAAGACACTCCTCCAAGATGGATTCATCTAGTCCACTGTGGATCCAAAGGAAAAAATTAACTACCAGTAATAAGATCTTTCAATTTCCTCCTCTGTTGATTCTCAAAAACCCAAAGTTTGGTAGTTTATGTAGACCTTCAGAGCAACACTCACACTTGCTTTCTCAAAGCTTACCACAAGCTTAGCATTTGGCAGAGTAAGTGCTCAATAGGTATCTAATGAATTAACAGGACCACGTCAATCTTATTTCACTACTCTCTTTCCTGAGAAGTTAAACAGCAAAGGCATCTGAAACTCAAGAGTCCTAATCCAGATTGTGCCATTCATTTTTTGTTTGAAAGGTGGGGGGTGGGGGAGGTTCACTTTGGGCAAATTCTTTCTGCAAAGCTGAATTGTCTCAAATTCCTTATCTATTTAGAAAGAAGAGAATGGGAGAAAAAAGGAGTCCTCGATGAAAACGTGTACTCTTCAACAGCACAGAGAGAGGAAGTCCTCACATCTGGACCTCTGTCTGTGCAGTGCTCAGTCAGGCAGAAGCACACCAAGATAGTTTTCTATGGCTCACCTACATCAAAACGGCTTAACCTATCAAGGCCAAACAACGCAGTGGTACCTCCTGATACCGTAGACTCCCATTCAGATGTATGGTCACAAAAATAATAGACATTGGGAAACAGCAGTTAGTGCAATGGCTATGTCGCTGGACTCCCATGTAGTCGACCGCGGTTCGCGTCCTGGACCCGGTGGCTTAAAACTCACGCCGGGCATGTGTGCGTGCGTGCCCAAGATCCCGAGAGGAGAATGGAGGAGAAGGGATTGCGGCGTGACCATCCCCCCTGGGGGGTGATTTCTCGCTTTCTGTCTCTATGTCTCTCTCTGTCTGTCTGGCAAGCGCACGCACCCTATAGTGAAAACCTCTCCAAAAAAAAAAAAAAATTATAGACACTGATTTTTATCAAGCTCCTCTGTACACCTCACCACATGTAGTACAGCACCTGGTAATCATTCTTAAACTATTTCTCTAAATCTGAACATTTAAGCTTTACATTTCTTAACGAACTAATCACAAAAGGATTCCAAATAACTCTTCACACATTTCCACACGAACGCCAAAGGCACACAAGCACAGAATTTTGTCATGAAGTACAGTAACATGAGTGCATGGCGTAAATAAGCCAGTACTGGCACATTTCAGATAGCAGCAGGAGGTCACGGGAATGGAACTATTCTTCTGAACAGGGCTCACCTATTGGGATCTGCGTGATTGGCCAGAATGTTGTAACAACCAGTAATCAGCTTCTCATACACACGAGCCAGGAACTCATCAGACTCTGCAGGGCCCAAAATGCGTTCCAGGGAATTGCTACTGATCTCAGCAACACTCTCAGTGCTCGACTCCAAAAGAAGGGGTAATAAGGTCCGGATCACCTGTGGTGGGTTCATCTCATCGGACCAACTACAGCAAAGAAAATGCAACCAAGTTAGTGAATATTCTCCAAAATGCTCCAAGGCAGAGTAGGAAAACTCAATCATTTATTGTGATCAGGCTTTTATTCCAGTTTTTAGTCCCTTGATACTTGGCTTCTGCATAGGTAATTATATAATATCATGTTCTTCTTTTTCATTATTGAATCAGAAGTAAAAATCATTTCCATATTAAAAATCCACTTACAGAACAAATTAACAGGATGCATTTCAAAACACTGAATAAAGAAAATTAACTAAAACCTAAGGGAGAAACCCATCCCAGATGAGCTTCGTATGAGGACTGCAAAGAACCTGGACCACTTATAAGGTAAAGTTAAATATATATGACTTTACTATGACCTATGTACAGGAAGGCAGAGACCCAACAGTCCCTCGAAAGCAGAGTCCAACTTCCATAATAATTCTGCAGAAACATTACCAAATAAATGCTCACCTTCACTTTAAATGCAAAGCATCTCCAAATCTGAGTATCATTTAAAGCCTGAAAAAATACTACAAAGAAAAAGAAGAGGAAGCACTGTGCTGCCTTTTATCTAAGTTAAAGATCAGTTCATGCAAGCAGTCATACTCCAGAGCAACAGATTCTCTTCTCTAAAGGAGGATACAGGAAAGGCATTACTCTGGGGTTAGTAAACCTTCGTCATTTAGCTACAAGAGAACACAGATGCAGAGCACGCCTGACTATCTAACAGGTACTCACACGATGAGATCTCCTGTCAGCCTGACCAGCGAGAGCAGGGTATGCTTCAAGGAAGCAGCCAGGGGCAGGCTTTGGCCACAGAGAGTCCCCAGGTGAGCAGCCTGCACAGCACTGATGTAGCTCTCTGATGGGATGGTGTCGTTGGCAAAGGCATTGCGCTGCAAGAAACCAAGTCAGATGTTGGACAGACTGTCCATCCCGGATAAGATTCTCATGTGGAAAAAACACTGACATAAACTAAGAGCCTATGGAGGTTTATAAACAATGGCTTCTTCTCAGTATACACTTACTCTTCCTAGGAAGGAAAGTGACTTCGGCAGAAGAAATCAGTTAAATTTCATTTAGTACAAAATGAACAGTTAAAAACAACAAATATCCAATATTACTTTCAAATCATTAAACTACAATATATACTATATTTAACAGTTAAACTATTCTTTGTAATGACTGAGAAGAACGTGTATTTTGCAAACTTCTGGTCTCCATTACAAAGATTGCAATATCCTTGTACTGTTAACTGCCCGTAGTGTAAACAGAGGTTGCGATTACAAACCAGGGGTCCTAAGATTTTTCTGAAGAACTGTAACAACAAAGTCATTGTAAATAGAGGAAGTTTGAGTACAGCGACACACAAAGATCAAGTAACTCCAAGGAAGACTCAACAGTTTCTAAAAGCCTACAGGACCTAAAAGCGATCCCACACAACTATGACAAAAGAGGCAGGTTCCTGACATAAGCTCAAAAGGAAAAGAAACTAGGTTAACATTAACTGAGAATTCACCTTCCAGACAATGTGCTAGGCATTTTATATGTAATACATTAAATCTCAGATCTCCATTTTCTTTTTTTAAGGAGAAAGATATTTGCTAGAGGGTATGTGCACTTATCAGAGAAACAGAGAGAGAGAGAGAGAGAAAGTGAGAAGTCACCCCATCCAGGGGATGACCACACCACAGTCCTTTCTCCTCCACTCTCCCCTCAGGATTTTGGGCACCCACACACACACACACCTGGTGTGAGTTTTAAGCACCAAGTCCAGGATTTGAACCATGGTTGGCCAAGTGGGAGTCAAGCTACGTCATCTGCTTGCCCCCACACCCCGTAGTTTCAACAGGCGAAGAAACTGAGGCTCGGAGAACTAAAGTGGTTTTTCCTATAGTAACACAAACTTCTCACTGGGCTAGGGCTTAACATTTCTACCCCTGGAAGAGGTAGGGACTCACCCAGGACCCAGCGTTGGGGAACTCATTGGTACTGATGCTGCTCCAGGACTCACACACAGCCTGCACCGATGATGGCAGATTCTGAACCAGTGTTGGACCTGGAGGCGACAGAGAGGGCAAGGACTCATCACAAGAAACAAGAAACAGAATAGAACAACTTAAAAGCTAAGCTCAAATGCCGGAAGAAACTACAAGCCAGGCTGTCAAAGTAATTACTAAGATAGCCTAGATGGATGTTTCAATAAGCAGCACTACGTCCAAAAACCAACTAATTGCCTAATAGCTAGCAATCTCAATTGTAAGGTTTTCATTTCCCATCAAATTCACTTTCTAATCTTGCAAGTAAAGAAGACAACTGAAAACAAGATGCAAAGTGACGGTGAGTCTCTGCAAGTCTGGGCAAAACCACCATTACACATCTGTTTCCCCTTTGATGAATAGGTATCACTTTGATCTTTCTCCCAAGACAAATCTTGAGGGCAAGGATCATTAAAGCACATCAAGAACAGTACTCAGTGAAGTAGTACTAACTGAGCCTATCTGAACATTCAAACAGTACTTAAAGCTTGAAATTAAGAGAGATACAAATGGCTCCAACTTTGGTTTCCTTTTTTTTCTTAAGGTTATTTTGGCCATAAGGTGCATGTGCTCTCCAGAGAGAGAGAAAGAGAGAGAGACAGTAAGAAGGAAAGTGAGAAATCAACCCCGGGGGAAGGGCCACACTGTAATCCCTTGTCCTCCACTCTCCTCTCAGGATTTTGAGCACACATGCACATGTGCCCGGCATGATTTTCAAGCCACTGGGTTTGGGACTTACACCATGGTTGCTCATGTAGGAATCCAGTGCCTTTTATTATTATTTTTTCTTTTTTTGGAGAGGTTTTTTGCTATAGGGTGCATGTGCTCACCAGACAGACAGAAAGACAGAAAACGAGAAACCACCCCCTAGAGAGCATGGCCACACCGCAATCCCTTCTCCTCCATTCTCCTCTTGGGATCTTGAGCACGCACGCACGCACATGCACCCGGCGTGAGTTTAAGCCACCGGATCCAGGACTCAAACCGCAGTTGACAACATGGGAGTCCAGCGACATAGCCATTACAATAACTGCTGGTCCCAGAATCCAGTGCTTTAACTACTGCACCAACTGCTGGCCCAAATGGCTCTAAGTGTCAAAAGGCAAGTACTGGGAACCAGCAGTTAGCGTAATGGCTATGTCGCTGGACTCCCACGTAGTCGACCGCGGTTCGCGTCCCGGACCCGATGGCTGAAAATTCACGCCGGGCACGTGTGCATGCGTGCCCAAGATCCTGAGAGGAGAATGGAGGAGAAAGGGATTACAGCGTGACCATCCCCCCTGGGGGGTGATTTCTCGCTTTCTGTCTCTATGTCTCTGTCTGGCGAGCGCATGCGCCCTATAGCAAAAAAAAAAAAGGCAAGTACTGTCCTAACTCCAATCCTGTTCAAGTGCTTTGATTTTTCCATCTTTTTTTAAAAGAATTTATTTATTTAATTCCATTTGTTATTAATATTACTTTTAATTTGACCAGAGAGACAGGGAAACGAGAAAGCAAGCTGCCTGGTCCAGGACTTGAACCACAGTAGGTCACATGGGAGTCTAGCACCTTTAACAATGTACCTACCAGCCCCTCCATCTTAAATTTCCATAATAACAGATCCTTCCTAACCCAGGCACGAGATTTTTATAAGCACAAAGTAGCGACTACCTAGCCTTCCTAATCTCTATAAACAGGAAATTAAAAGAAAAAAAAAAAAAAACACGCTGAGTTAAAGGCAAAACAGTCTAATGCTTGGGAACCATTTGATTTTGGTTTGGATTCCAGCTGCATCGCCTGCAAGATGTAAGACGTAAGTAACTTTCCAAGCCCTGGTTTCCTAACAAGTAAAAAGGGGTAATAGCACTTACACCACAGGGTTACTAAGAAGACGAAGACAGATAAACCTACACACATGCCTGACACACAGAAGGCCCCAGTTAGTATCAGTAGACAGAGAGGGAGAGAAGTACCAGCAGCTGCAGCAGAAGTAACGTGCTGTTCAGAACCTATCGTTCACTTACCCAGAGTGTTCGCCTTGCACCTACTCGACCCAATAGCCAAAACAGCAGCAAAGCCATGCAGTTTCTCCTGGGAAGGCTTTTCAGTGGTTCCCTCTTCATTAAAGTTCTGTAGCAAATAGGCTCTGAAGAAAGAAACGGGGATGGGAAAAGCTGCAAGGTCTAATCCTATCACAACAGGGAAAAACTAAGCTTGGAAAGCTGAAAAACCTGTATCTCAGTTTCCTAGTCTGCTAAATACAATTGGTAATGCCTGCCTCTTCCAGGTTTGATAAGCATTACCATTAGTAACTATTTTCTAAAGAATTCTCATCCTCGGGAACCAGCAGTTAGCGTAAAGGCTATGTCGCTGGACTCCCATGTAGTCGACAGTGGTTCGCAGTGGCTTAAAGCTCACGTCGGGCGCGTGTGCGTGCGTGCCCAAGATCCCAAGAGGAGAATGGAGGAGAAGGGATTGCGGCGTGATCATCCCCCCTGGGGGGTGATTTCTCGCTTTCTGTCTCTATGTCTCTCTCTCTCTCTGTCTGTCTGGTGAGCGCACATGCCCTATAGTGAAAACCTCTCCAAAAAAAAAGAATTCCCATCCTTGGGGGAAGGCGGGTGGTGTGGTAGTTAAGGGTGCTCGACTCCCACATGTTCAACTGTGGTTTGAGTCCTAGGCCTGGAGGCTTTCTATCTCTATCTCTCTCTCTCTCTCTCTCTCTCTCTCTCTCTCTCTGGTCAAATTAAAATCAATCAATAAATAAAGTTAAATAAAATAATTATTTAAGAAAAAGAATTCTCATCCTCTGAATACTCCCAAAACATAATTCCAGGACAATTAAATCAAGAAACAGTGAAAACCACGTCTATTTCCCTTCTCTCACCTTGGAAGATTGGAAATGAATACATTAAAGACTCTAAGTACTATCTATATTTTTTAAAACTGAAATAAACAAGAAACTGTACCCAGTACTTCCCAAACTTCCTTGCCCAGGAAAATCTGGGCATTAACTCCCAGGACATAACATGGCCTGCTCTGGCTGCTTATTCCACACACCTAGAAAAGTATCTGGCACATAGAGGGTCCTCATACTTGTTATTTAGGTTTATTGTTCATCTCGTTTTAAAACCTTGCTTCAAGTAACAGCCCTCTCTACTGCAAGGCATTCATACTAAAAGATAAAGTTAAGTTCTGCAATGACCCAGGCCCCATTCAACATAAAAGCCCCATAGAACAGGAGCTCAACACTAAGATCCTACAGAGACCAGGTACAGTAACTGGGCTTAAGAGACACGACAAGGGACCAGCAGATGGCATAACGGTGACATTGCTGGACTCCCACGGGGTCAACCGCAGTTCTCAGACCAGTGGCTTGAACCTCACACCGAGCACATACGTATGCCTGTCCAAAGTCTCAAGAATGGAGAAGGGACTGCAGCGCAGTCATCCCGCCAGGGGATGATTTCTCACCTCAGTCTCTCTGTCTCTCCAGCAAGCACACAAGCCCTATCGCAAAAATCTCTCTCAATAAAAAGAGAGAGAGAGAGAAAGCAAGCAAGGTGAGCAGAAGTTGAACCCTGTCTTGCCAGTTCTTGCAATGAAAGAAGAGCTAGAATTCTCTATTTATAAATAATTTCCCAAATATCTTTTTGGTGGGGGAGATATTTTTTTGCTATAGGGCATGTGCACTTACTAGAGAGAAAGAAAATGAGAAATCACCCCCCAGAGGGATAGCCAGACCATAATACCTTATCCTCTATTCTTCTCTTGGGATTTTGGGCATGCACATACATGTGTGGGCATGCACATACATGTGTACGCATGTGTGCACAAGAGTTTCAAGCCGCCAGGTCCGGGACCTGAACCACAGTCAGCCATGTGGGAGTCTAGCACTTTACCCACCACTGATCCCAATTTCCCAATTTATATGTACTAAGAATTAATTTGGGGGGCAGCAGTTAAGGCACATGGCTGACTTGACATTCAAGTCCCAGACCTGGTGGATTTGAAAAAACAGCAGACGCATATGCATGCATGCCCCAAAACCCGAGAGAATAATGGAGAAAGGACTGTGGTATAGCTATCCACTCCTGGAGAGTGATTCCCTAGTTTCCCTCTTCTTTCTCTATTTTTAATTTTTTTTAAAAAGAGAGATTTTTGTTATTGAGTGTGTGTGTTTGCCGGAAACACACACACAGAGACAGACAGTGAGATATCACTCCACGGGGGAATGGCCATGCCACAATCCCTTCTCCTCAGGATTTTGGGCACGCTCACACATACACCCAGCATTGAGTGACAAGCCACCAGGTCCAGGACTTGAACCACGGTGGGAAAAATGGAAATTCAGCACATTAACCACTATGCCACCTGCTGGCCCCTCTTTCACTCTCTCTCTCTACTCTCTCTAAGGCAAGCACACATGCCTTGTTGCACCCCAAAAAAATTATTTTTTGTAATTTTTTTTAAATTCCAAATATTTAAAAATTATATAAACCAAATGTTCAATCTGCACTGTGTGTTCTAAAATAAGCTACATTTCAGAGTAACCTCTAATTCATAAAAATTTTTTTTTCCTAAGGGCATACCATGAAACATCATTGAAAGAGCTTCATCCCAGTTACTGAGAGAAATGATGAAAAAATTACATGATCTTTCTTTGTATCTTCCAAGTAAAATGCTAGAAATATTTAAAGAGTGATAGAAATTAAACTTCCTCCTGACTCCTGCAGAACTACAGGAAAATTCTCTAGCCAGGCACCCCTTAATATCAGAGAAAAAAAATCGTACTCCAAGGGAGAGAGCAGGGGGAATTAAGCTGATAAAAAGGAAAAGTGTGAAATTCTGAGTCACTGGCAGATCTATGCAGAGTGGCTGGAACACGTGTGTTTCTGGGCGGGCAACTGTCCACACCTGGTGAACGACGCGTAGATGTCGATGAGCTGCAGAGTGGCAGGAAGGAGGTTCTTGGTGATCTCAGATGACTTATGAGGATCCGTCTCAGCGGCCATCTTAGAAAAGTGCTCATCCAAAGAGACTTGGACCTTGGAGATGGCCGCGCCAAGCGTATAGATGGACTGAAGACTTGGGATTTCATGGAGCTGCAAGATGGTGGTGCAGTCGATGCTACAGAATGATGAGATCTTTAAAAATACCCAAGATATTAATGAGTTATGGCCAAAGGCTGTGGTAGAAAGCCAACACATTATGCCATTACGGTTTCAACACCTACCTGCCGAGCAAAGTATTCCTCCACAATTTCAACATCGTATTTCACTGAGCTACATTTGGTAGATGCCAGCTCTATGAGAGAGCTCGCATGTTCCGCTTTCATGCCCTGCTTGATAAGATGATCCTATGTGAACAGAGAGAAAAATAGTGTTAGGAGATCAGTACGGACAGAGTCCAAGGCTTTCACAATCTTTCCATTTAAAAGGTCCCGTAAGCACAGGGCTTGCTGACACTGAATGGCCCTTAGTAAAAGCTCCGGGCCCCACCCTGGTACCTTTATCCAGCTGACATAGGAGCTGATCCGGAGGCGGGAAGACCATCGCAGGGTGTGTAAGATGTCACACTCGCTCATCTCGGGCGAGTTCATAGCCAGCTGGTTCACATACGTCTTTGACGGTGGTAAAATTCCTAGGATCCTCCACAATATCAAGAAGTAATACTGAAGGGCACAAGCCTCCTGAGAAAGCAAAATGAGCAGTCAGAGAGGTCACATTTGGTCTTGCCTCAAGCCTAATAGTAAGAATAGCTAACAATACGACTTTGGAAACAGAACAGTGCAGAGTTCCAATTTTCAACCGAAATCTGAGCCTTCAGTCTGTGCTCCTGACCTTTCTCAATAGGAGCATTCCTAATAAAGCAGAAATGGCACGGTACACGGACCAACCATTGGTCCCGTATCATGCACACTTCACAGGCTAATAAAATTGCTCAGAGACAGTTTTGGCTCTGCAATAATCTATCAACAACCAAAAGAGAGCAGGACACTCTTCTTAGCAGACTTACAACCCACAGGCCATTTCTGTGGCCTGGAGTTACTAGCACAGTTTCTAGGACAGACACATTCATGGACCTCTGCAGAAGTTCAAGTATAAGGTTTTCAATATAATGCATCAGCCAGCATTTGCAGGAGATAGAGCGCTCTCAAAGTCACATTTCTCTCAATACTAACCAAAAAATGTAATGTCATCTCTAAGGTGAACATAACCATCCAAATAATACATAGAAACACTGAAGTTTATCAGTCAGTTCTGTAAACAGATATTCAATAAACTAATTAGAATGCAGAAGGAAACTTCTGGTAGAATTAAGGAGCAATTATCTAACTCAGCCCCAACTCCTCCCAGGCTTCCATGGTCTTACCAGGGCTGTTACATTCTTGCTCTCCTTCCTCCTGACTGTATCAAGCTGGGACCCAGCAGCAAGCAGGGCCGTTAGTGCAGTGTAAAGCTCATCATACTTCACCAGCTTGGAGAAAAGAACATCGCATGCCTGCCATCAAGAAAGAAATAAAATCATTTCTTCTTGTTTTCTGAAGTTTTCCCCCCACTACCCATGCACTATCATTTAACCTCCTGAGACAAAACACCCCGTAAAATTGCACTTATTAATTTCTCATACAGCAGGGCCCCACTCTGGGACCTCACTCAGTTTGCAGGCTATTGTGAATACAAGCCCAGTCTTTAGAACAAGAGAGGAGCAACTGTTATTTTTTTTGTTTATTAAAATATTACATGTGGTGAATGCTAAGAGAGAGAGTCTTTGGAAATAACATCAGTGTCAACCACCATAAAGAATGCCTATAGCAAAAGTGCAATCCAGCAGATAATCTAGAAAACACATTTATTTCCTTCTGGAGTAAGCTCTGATCTTAATTTAGCCAAATGCCCTCATAACAAAAAGTTATTCTCTTCCCCACCCCAATAGGATGATGTTAAAGACAATCTGACCCACAAATAAAATGGGGTTTTGGAACCAGCAGTTGGCCTAATGGCTATGTCGCTGGGCTCCCATGGGGTCGACCGGTTCAAATCCCGGACCTGGTGGTTTAAACTCATGCCACGTGCATGTGCATGCATGCCTAAGATCCCAAGAGGAGAATGGAGGAGAAGGGACTGCGGCGTGGCCATCCTCCCTGGAGATGATTTCTTGCTATCTGTCTCTCTCTGTCTTTCTGGTGAGTGCACGCACCCTATAGCAAAAACCTCTACCAAAAAAAATGGGGGGGGGGTTAAAATTCCTGGTACCACAGAATCCAGTCGGTTCAAATCATCCTCTGAGGCTTCTGGAGAGAGGGCACAGTAGAATCTGGGCTGTGGGACAGCATCTAAAAAGCAACGTGTTTATTAAAAGAATGGTTTTATTCTCAACTCTAACAAACATAAACTGCAAACACTAAAAAAGCACTTTAAACCAAGGCTTCTCAACCTTGGCACTACTGACACTTGGGGCTGGATGATTCTTTGCTATGAAAAGTTGTCCTGGGCACTATAGGAGGTCTAACAGTACAAGGAGCGCCAGCAGCACCCCCACTCTGCAGATGTAACCACCAAAAATGTCTCCAGACATTGCCAAATAACCCCTGGGGGAAGGCAAAATCACCCCTAGGAGTTAACTAAGGCTCTTTATGGTCAAGTTAATCGACAAAATTGCATCATTAGACTATAGGCATTACACCTGGACACCATTTTCTCACTATCAATGAGACATGATCATGAATTCATACTAAGGCTTCACAAGAGCTTCCACAAAACACACTTAATAATCCTCAGGAGAGAAGTAAAGAATCCATAATATACCCCATGCCTCGATATAAGGATTCTTAAATCCTGTGCCCCAATTTTTTTTAATTAATATGGGGAATGTGGGAGTCAACTTATGTTTTAAATCTGTAGATGATTTGTCTAAACCAAATGACCAAAGATCCTCTAAGAGTCTCCAATTTTCAAATTCAATTCTGCCAGTAAGAATCCCTAGGTCAGTTTTTTATTGACAGTCTTCTTTCTGACCTGATGAGAAATGCTTAGACCAGTTTTCTTCTACTTCTTTGAACCCATGATAGAGAGGGGTGGTTGTCCGGCGGCTGTTGCTGTCCTGGGATCCACTGGCCCACCCAAAAGGAGGACTTAGCAAGTTATGCTGCACCTTTTAAAACACAAACATTCATTTAAGGAAGTTACACAGTCACCATTCTGCTTTTCATTTCTGGTATAACAGGTTAGTATATCAAAGCTTAGAAAAAACACAAACTGGGACCAGCAGTTAGCGTAATGGCTATGTCGCTGGACTCCCATGTAGTCAACCGCGGTTCGCGTCCCGGCCCCAGTGGCTTAAAACTCACACCAGGCACGTGTGCATGCGTGCCCAAGATCCCGAGAGGAGAATGGAGGAGAAGGGGTTGCGGTGTGGCCATTCCCCCTGGGGAGTGATTTCTCGCTTTCTGTCTGTCTGTCTGTCCGGCGAGCGCACGCGCCCTATAGCAAAAAAACCTCTCCCCCCAAAAAAGAAAAAACACAAACTAAAATAAAATTTTAAAGAATCAACCAGGTGGCATGGAAATTAAGACAGCTGGATCCCACATGGCTGACTGAACAGTTCAAGTCACAGACCAAGCAGCTTGAATGAATGAATGAATGAACAAACAAACATTCCAGGAGCATGTGCATGTGTGTCCAAAATCCCAAGAAGAGAATGAAGGAGGAGGGTTGCAGTGTAGCCATCCCCCCGGAGGGAGATTTTTTCACGTTCCCTTCTATCTTTTTATCTGTCTGTCCTGGCAAGTGTATGTGCCTTACATCAAAAAAATAAACAGATAGCAAATGGCACAAGGATTATATTTCTGGACTCCCACATAGACCACTGCAGTTCAAGTCCTGGACCCAGTGGCTTAAAATTCACACCAGGAACATACGCGTGTGTGCCCAAAATCCTAAGAGGAGAATGAAGGAGAAGGGACTGAGGTGTGACCATCCCTCCAGGGAGGTGATTTCTCACTTTCTGTCTCTCAGGCAAGTGTACATGCCCTATAGCAAAAATCTCTCTTAAAAAAAAAAAAAAAAAAAAAAAAAAAAAACTAAACAAATTAAAAAAAGGGAGGAGGAGAGGCCAGCAGGTGGCATGGTGGGTAAGGCCCTGGACTCCCACATGATCAACCACAGTTCAAGACCCAGACCCAATTGCTTAAAACTCATACTAGAAATGTGTGCGCACCTGCCAAAACTCTCAGAGGCAGAATGGAAAAGGGACTGTGATGTGGCTATCCTTCCTGGAGAGGGGTGTTGATTTCTCATTTAACCTATCTCTAGTGAGCACACATGCCCTATGGCAAAAACCTTTAAAAAAAACAAAAGAAAAAAGAACTAAAACATACACACAAACTAAAAACTAAAATAAAAAATTTTTAGAAATTATTTAACTTTATTTATTTATTCATTTTAACTTGACCAGAAAGGGACAGAGCAAGAAAAAAAGAAAGGGAGGGAGAGAAAGTGAGAAAGCAAGCTGCCAGGTCCGGGACTCAAACCATAGTCGGCCATGTGGGAGTCTAGCACCCTTAACCACCACGCCGCCTGCCAGCCCGAAATAAAATAAAATTTTAAAGATTTTCCAGTTACTTCTTTTGGAAATCATTTTCTGATGGTGTTTCTTAAAGAGAACTGTACAACATAAAGGAAGTATTATTTTTTTAGGATTTTGCCGTAAGGCTCAATGGAGACAGAGAGGGAACATGAGAAATCATCGGCTGTGGGGATGACCACACTGCAAGCCCTTCTCCTCCACTCTCCTCTCAGGATTTTAGGCATACATATGCACGTGTACCTGGCATGATTTTCAAGCCCCCAGGGCCAGGACTGGAATAGCAGTCGCCCATGTGGTAACCCAGTGTGCCACCTGCTGGCCCACTACAGAAAACATTTTAAGAATACTGAAACATAGTTAAGTCTTAACTGGCCCTCTCATCCTCACTGTGGATCCTTACAGCCAATCCATAAAGGTACTGCTCGGCTATCATTCAACTACTAGTGAACATTCAATGAGAAGTGATGCCCAGGACACACTGCCAGACTCAAGTAGAGCAGGGTACTTCTAGGAAGAACTCCTGTGAACAGAGCCTAGAGTCCAACTTTACCAACGCAATCTATTAGGCCGTTGGGAAACTCATGACATATTTTTCTATGTTTCTTTTCTATGCGAGAATGTGTCATGACTTTCCTAAAAACCCAAAACACTAATTCCTTCTGGTTAAACATAATGTGCAAGTGTACACATACAAGTCCCAGTGGTTTTCCAAAATCTTACCCATAAACCTATCACGATGAATACCTAAGACCTGAAGTGAGGATCATTTTGGCCTTGGATCATAGTAACCCTGAAGAAAAAGTGCTCAGTAAGAGAAAATGAATGCTTTGGTCTATACCTGTTCAAACAAATACACAGGAGCTTTGGAGTACTGGTGCAGCAGGTAATCGAAGATCAGCAGGAGGCGCGCCAGGATGAGCGGCACGGAGCGCGTCTGGACATCCATGTCAACACTCAGCTCCTGGATGATCTGCACGAAGAGGGTCAGTATGGCCCGCCGGCCTTTCTCTGTGAAGTTGTGGAAGATGAGGAGGAGCAGCTGCAAGTGTTCTACATTCAAATCTTCCGTCTCACTGGGAACCACCCCCTGCAAGGCATTCTGCTTCATTGTGGACAAAAACCTGCCACACAGAAATGAATAGATCTAGTTGGGAAAAGTTGGAACACCTCCCCACATAGAAAATTCCAGGCACCAGCAGAGTGAAACTTCTGAACCCCAGGCATTAAAATAATGAGGGGGAAAAAACGACATGGTAAAGATAAAGTATAAACTAAATTTTGGCTATAAAAAAGCTAAATTCAGGGGGCTAGCAGGTAGTGTGACAGTTAAGGCATGGCTAACCATGGTTCAAGTCCCAGACCCAGCAACTTAAAAATCACACTGGGCACATGTGCTTGCATGCCCAAAAAATTCCGGGAGAATGCAGGAAAAGGGATTTCCCTAGGAGATGACTGCTCAATTTCCCATTCTCTGTCTCACGCATGCGGCCTACAACAAATACCTTTAAAAAAAAAAAAAAAAGCTAGATTCAGCCCCAAAAATATTCCCAAGGAACTTCAGCTTTCACAACCACGGCCACAGCTGTATCAATGCCCACCCTGTAATTGTGACAATGGAAGGAACTGTGAGCTCCCCAAAAGGTGGTGGTGCTACTGCTTCTTAATTAATAATCCTGGGCAGACAGAGCCAACTCAATCACTTTTCCCTATATTTTGATGCTGTAATTTCATTCTAGTTTTAGGAATTTATATTCCAGGTTAAAATCATTGCCTGATAATAGCAAAAAATAGCCCAGACCATAAAGCAATAAGAAAGAAATTATACTATTTAGAGAACTTGTCAGAAGAGCTTTTATGCAAAAATGGAATGAATATAGCCAACTATTTTTGCTGCCTTTGGCTATCAAAAAAGAGATTTGTATTTTAATAAGGGTTTCCCCCCCCACTGCACCCCCCACCTCCCAGCCTTCTTTGCAAGATTCCACCAGGAAATACATAGTGGGTCTTTGGCATTCAAGGAGGTTTATGATTTCTCAAATCCAGCATTAGAGCTATTTGATCCTAGAATGGGGAATAGAAAAGCAAAGCCTTTTAGGAAAACAAACTGCTTTGAAGACTCCTAACCATGTAAACAAAAATGGCAAATACAGGTCCATCTAAAGAGGATTTAGATGATTAATCTGAGCTTCCCCCAAGGAAAAAAATTCTTTAAAATTTGTCCAAAAAAGACTGCAAGTCACTTTAAGTGCTTTCATATTGAAAGCAAAATAACCAAGGATGGAGTTGGCTTCCCTGCTCCCTCTTTCAAAAAACCAGGTCAGGATAAAATTGTTTATGTTCAAGATGCAGGTTCTACCTAGTCATTATAACCAAATCCCCCACGTGCAACAGCCAGCATCTGTCTGGACCGTAGTTTCTGTAGGCGCTTTGGTAACGGCATACCTTACCGCAACCCCCATCACTCCTCCACCCTCCCCACTTAAATACTACCAACACAGTAACGTCTCAAAGTTACAGCTTAACTACAAAGGAATCAAACAAATGATCTCTTCTATAGGTCTTGTCCCGGGAGTTTCTTACCTGTCCCAAACTTTAAGACATTCAGGGACATCAGGGTCACCCTGGGCGCTGGCTTTATGCTGCCAGATGAGCAGGAGGCGTGAGAGCACAGAGAGGCTTTGAGGGTGAATGTACAAGGGCCAAGGGCCCTCAGAAAAGGGAGCGACTCCAAGCTGCTGCAACAGTGTATTCTGGCATGAAAGACACATAAGAGACCATTATAAAAAGATAAGGGATAAGGTCAGGGTTACTCAGGCTCTCAAATTTTTTTAAGTGATTTTTGCTATAAGACATATGTGCTCACTGGAGAGAAGAGAAAAACAGAGACAGAAAGCAAGAAATCACCCCGAGGATGGTCACACCACAATCCCTTGACCTCCATTCTCCTCTTGGATTTTGGTCACCAAACACACACATGCGCGCCCAGCATGAGTTTCAAGCTGCTGGGTCCGAGACTTGAACTGCAGCTGACCACGTGGGAGTCAAGTACCTTAATCACTATGCCACCTGCTGGCCCCTTCAAATGTTCATTTTTTTTTTGCTATAGGGTGCGTGTGCTTGCCAGAAAGACACAGAGAGAAAGCAAGAAATCACCCCCTGGGGGGATGGCCATGCCACAATCCCTTCTCCATTCTCCTCTCAGGATCTTGGGCACACACGCACACCTGCCTACCGTGAGTTTAAGCCACCAGGTCCGGGACTCGAACTGCGGTCCACTACATGGGAGTCCAATGACATAGCCATTACACCAACTGCTGGTCCCCAAATGTTCATTTTTTAATATGGGCAGAGTAAAGAAAGAAGGACCCAGAAATTTAGATTTAGAAATGGTTTGGGAAAAGATCATATAGTTCAACAAATAAAAAATAAATAAATAAAAAATTACTAATCTAACTCACTAAAATCTATAGTTAATTAGCATCAGAAAAGGGCTTCTGGGGCCAGCAGGTGGCGTGGTTGTTGAGGGTGCTGGACTCCCACATGGCTGACTGCCGTTCGAGCACCAGACCTGGTGGCTTGCTTTCTCACTTTCTCTCTCCTCCTCTCTGGTCAAATTAAAATAAATAAATAAAATAAAAATAAAGTTAAATAAAGTAATTATAAAAAAAAAAAAAGGGAGGGCTTCTGAAAAAGGAGAAGTGTATTGAGATAGCAGAACTGAAATAATTTTTTAAATGGAAAGAACATGAAAAACCGCTGCCTTTGAGAGAAAAACGGTGCCTTTGAGAACTATAACATAATACCTTTTCTTTGATAACCAGTAGCCTACAAATAACTCGTGGAAGAGGAAGACCCAACAATTTACAGCTCTAACAACTTGCATTAAGAGTACCTCAGACGACCAGCTATTTGGCATTGTGGTTAAGGTAGCTGGGTACTATTATGGGGCTAACCGCACAGATTAAATCTCAGACCTGGCAGCATGAAAAACATGATGCTGGGCATGTGTGCATGCGTGCCCAAAATCCTGAGAAGAGAATGGAGTAGAAGGGATTGTGGTGTGGCCATCCCCCATGGGGGGTGCTTTCTCACTTTCTCTCTTTCTCTGGTAAGTGCACACATCCTACAGCAAAATTTTTTTAGTTAGTAAAGCAATTTTGCCTATTAGGTATCAAGGTACCTAGATATAATCAAGGCTGTCTTTTGCCTCCAGTGGTGGCCTGTCTTTCAAATGAGCTGCACTTTCTTTTTCCCAGCCCAGTTATCTAAGCTGCGACTTATCTTCACAAGCACACATGTGCACAAACTGAGTGTGTTGCCAACAGAAAGCCAGACGAATGCCCGTTTCCTATTTGGCTTCGGAAGACTCAAACCTTGGTTACCTCTGGATGTAGAATAAATTTCTGAGTCTGCCAAATTAAATTACAGTCTTATAAAAGCTCCCTGAGGACCCTAGTCCTGGGAAATGAGCGTCGTTCAGAATGCCGCAGATCTCAAGGGCACTTTCCAAGTGCTGGGCAGTGACCACAGGCTGGCAGCGAGCTAAGTGCTACACACACTGTCATACTGCATGCAGGGCCGTGCCGGGAGGGGTGTCAAGAGGGCCAGGTCACTGGCGAGGGTGGTTGAAGAATATGACCAAAGTCATAAGTTCATTAAGTAATAAACCAGGTTTCTCTCTAAAACCCACATTCTTATCCATTATGCACAATGCAGCCACAAGTGACCTCTGAATTCCTGACTCTGAGGAAACAATGCCAAGAATTAATAATATTAATCTACCTGAGCTACATCAAAAATATCAACTGTAATAATGAGAAAAGAATAAGGGAAAAAACCTAAGTATTCCAAACGAGGGATATGCAGCCATAAACATGGATTATATACAATGCATGTTCTTTGTAATATCACTTCTACAACATTATTCTCAGTGAGGATTCCGGGTTTTTGGTTTTTTGGGTTTTTTTTTAATTTTGCCAGAAAGTTTACGTGCTCAGTGGAGAGACAGAGAAAGGGAAAGCGAGAAAGGACCCCAGTGGGGCATGGTCATGCCATAATCCCTTCTCCCTAACCCCTCCTTATGAGATCTTGGGTACACAGGCACACGTGTCTGGCATGCTTCCTGAGCCCATAGGGTCCAGGACTCAAACCGCATAGTCACCATGTGGGATCCAGCCCCCTTCACTAGGCCATGGACCAGACTTAAGTAACAGCCTCTGTTTCCGCCTCTGTGTCAGTCACATAAGAAATGAGGCAGCATTCCACAGGAGCCTGTTTCCCATCACCCCAACTGCAAGCAGTTGTATGTGAGATGACTGACTTTCAAGGAAGTAAAACTCACCACAGTACACATAGCAGCAAAACCTTGTTCTAGAGGCCAGCAGGTGGGATGGCAGTTAAGGCACTGGTCTCTCACATGGTCAGATGTAATTCGAGTCCCGGATCTGGCAGCTTACTCAGTATCCATTAAATAGTAATTCCCTATTCCCCTCCGCCTCCAGCACCAGGCAACCAGCACTCAGCTTTCTGCCTCTGTGAATCTGATCACCCTATGCACCTCACATACATGGAATCATACACTATCTGCCCTTTTCTGCGTGACTTATTTCACTGAGCACGCAGTCTTCACGGTTCCTCTATGTTGTAGCAGGGGTCAGGCTTTCCCTCCGTTTAGAGACTGAATACTCCTCACTCAGTGTGTGCACGTATCACATTCTGTTTATCCTTCATTCAAATATCAAGGGACATTAGGGTTGCTTCCATCTCTGGCTACTGAGAACAATACTGTTATGACCTCGGGTGTATAAGAATCTGTCCAAGACCCTGCTTTCATTTCTGTTGGATATGTAAGTAGACTTGTTAGATCATACGGTAATTCTATGTGTACCTAATTTGTGAAGCCACCTTTCCGTTTTCCACAGTGACTGGATCATTTTACATTCCCACCAGAAAAGCACAAAGATTCCACTTTCTCAACGTCCTCACTAGTATGTACTTTCTGTTTTCCTAATGGTTGTAAAGTAGTATCTCATGTTGTGGATTGAGCTGGGCACTACTTTATTATTTTTTTAATTGCCACAGGGCACATGAGATCCCCAGAGCAAGAGGTGGGAAGCTTCCAATAAGACATGGCTGTGCAGCAAGCCCTTCTCCTCCATTTCTCCCTCCTACTGGGATTTTCGGCACACGTGCACACACGCCTGCTGTGTTTCTCAAGCAGATATGGCCAAGACTCAAACCATGGTCATCCATGTGGGATCTGGCTACATTAACCCCTAGACTACAGAACTGGCCCCAAGTTGGACACTATTTTAGATGTTATGTGTTTGTCCTGCCCTATGTCACTCCCAGCCACTGATGCTCGGCACCTGCACCTACACCAAGGTCCATTCCAGCACTGTATTAACTTATAAAAGCATAGCCCAGGGCCCACAGACGGCATGGTAGTGAAGGGTGCTGGACTCCCACATGGCCAATAGTGGTTTGAGTCCCCGAACTGGCAGCTTCCTTTCTCGCTTTCCCTCTCCTTCTCTTTCTCACTCTGTCCCTCTCTGGTAAAATTTAAATAAGTAAATAATTAAATAAAGTTAAACAAAATAATTCCTTTTTTTTTTTTTTAGAGGATTTTGCTATAGGGTGCATACACTAGCAAGAAAGACAGAAAGTGAGAAATCATCCCCCGAGGGGAGGGGAAGGAAGGCCACACCGCAATCCCTTCTCCTCCATTCTCTTCTCCAGATCTTGGGCAGGCATGCACACGCACCCAGTGTGAGTTTAAGCCACTGGGTCCGGGACTTGAACCATGGCCTACTACATGGGAGACCAGCAACACAGTCATTACACCATCTGCTGGTCCCAAATAAAATAATTTTTAAAAATAAATAAAATAAAAGACAGCGCAGAGGCTCTCTACTATAGTCTTCATGTAGATTTCAAGATTCCTCATAATTTAACCACGCTCCTCTCTGTGGCATTCTCCGCTCTCAATCAAAGGGAACCACTCTATATGACCTCCATATGCAGTGTGTTCCTGTCGGTGCCAGTCATTCTGCTCCCTACCTGGTACTCTAATATCACCCATCCTTTCTGTACCATCACACCTGCTATGAAGTCCTACCTCCCCATTCCTGCAACCCGCAAACTGCAAGTATTTTCTCTCTTCTTTCAACCCATGCCCTACCTTCTACATTTGATACTTAACAGATTCTATATTAAATTAGCTATTGAGTGCCTATTACACTCTACTCCTATCCTACAAATAGCGGTTGTTTCTTTTTGTTTTGTTTACTTTATTGATAAAGGACCGTCTGCTCACTAGAGAGAGAAGTACCCCCTAGTGGAGTGTGGTTTTGTCACAATACTTTCTCCTCCATTTCTCCAACCTGTCGGGATTTTGGACACACACATGCACCCAGCATGTTTTTCAAGCTACTGAGTTAGGATAAGAACCATGGTCAGCTAAGTGGGATCCTGCTCCCTTAACTATAACTAATAGCCAAGGGCGCTGGACTCCCACATGGTCAACCATGGTTCAAGTCTCGGACCTGGCGACTTACTTTCTCATGTTCCCTCTCGCTGTCTCTCTTTCTCCCTCACTCTATCCCTCTCTGGCCAAATTAAAAATAAATAAATGAAGTTAAATATATTGAACTGCACACTTTGAGTCCTGGCCCCAGCAGCTTGAAAAACATTCTGGGTGATGGGGCCCGTAGGTGGCATGATGGTTAAGGGTCCTGGACTCTATATATATCTGGTCGAATTAAAAATACATAAATAAATGATTAAATAAATAAAAAATAATTCTTTAAAAAAAAAAAAGAAAAGAGGGGTCAGCAGGTAGCGTGGTGATTAAGATGCTGGACTCCACATGGCTGACTGTGGTTCAAGTCCCAGACCCGGTGGCTTTCCCTCTCTCTCTCTCTGCCTTTCTCTGGTAAAATTAAAACATAAATAATAACAAATAAAATGAATAAAAATAACTTTAAAAAAAAAAGAAAGAAAATAAAAACATGCTGGGTAAATAAGCGTGTGTGCCCCAAATCCCAAGATGAGAAAGACAGACAGGGAACTGCGGTGTGGCCATTCCCCTCCCAGGGCCTGATTTCTCACTTTCCCTCTCTGTCTCTCGCCAGTGAGCACATCCTCCCTATTGCACACTAAGACAAATTTTTTTGGAACCAGCAGATGGTATAATGGTTACATCACTGGACTCCCATGTAGTCAACCATAGTTCGAGTCCCAGACCCAGACTCATATCATACATGCATGCATACGTGCCCAAAATTCTAAGAGAACAATGGAGAAGGGACTGTGGTGCTGCCATCCTTCCCTGGGGGGTGATTTCTAGCTGTCTCTGTCTCTCCGGTGAGTATATATGCCCTATAGCGAAATCTCTCTACAAAAAAAAAAAAGAGAGAGAAAAATTTTCCTTAAAACTAAGGACTATAGATGCAAAAATTTGCTTATTTTTATTTATATTTATTGCATTCATAATGTTTTTCTATTATTATATATCATATATAACTTATATAAATAAACAGAATTAATGAAATGAGAAGCTTGAGATGTAGAATTCATAATATCAGATACCTCAGTGGGAAGAGAGAACTATAAGATTACAAATTCATAATCCAGGTCTGAGATTTTGTTTTAATGGTGGGTTTGCAAGTGGAATTTTGTATAAGGTCATCTTATCTCCTGCATTTTAATGTCTTAATTTAAAACATACACTTAAAAGTTTGTATTTCTTCAATTACTAATGATGCTCAACATTTTTCCTATATTTGTTGGTCATTTATATTTCTTAATTTTTAAAGTACCCTCCTGTATATTTTGTCCACTATTTTTCAAGGATAGTTACCAGTTTTGTTTTTGTAGTTTTTCCTTTTACTTATGCTTATTGAGTAACTTGAAAATAAAGGACACACTTCTTTTTTCTTGAAATGGCCTTACAACTTAGCAGAATAGCAACGCTCTTTCCCATGTAGGGACGAATAACTAATGGTGTTCCTTAACACCAGGAGCAGCTGCAGCCCATGGGAGGAGCTACTGGGGAAGGCTTTGGACCTAGACAGCTGCAGTGCACACGAACCTGCAGGTTAGGTGACTGAAGGTCAGAAGTTACCAGAGAGTGGTTGAAGTGGTAGAGAGCTGCAGCAAACTCTTCATCTGAGGAACCTTGAAGACAGACAGGAGACCAGTTACTCAAGCAGCTGCTACAGCACGCCAGCCCGCGGACAGCCAACCTCCCCTAAGGAACGGGCCCCATATACTGACCCTTGAGTCCATCTTTGTCCACCTCCTTGATGATACTGGCCAGGGTGGCCATATGGTGTTCTGAAAGAGACACACTCAGATAGTTCCGGATAAAATTGTTTCGAGAGTTCAGCATGGAAGAAGTGATGAAGTTCAAAATGTTGGAAGCCAGACCTAAGAACTAAAAGCAACACAAAAAACCTCTCTGAGCAGGTTCATAAACCCAGAACCTCTACAAACCCTGAACACAAACAGGAAATAAACCATGCCCACAGGCTTCATGTAAGAATCAAAATTTAAATCATCTGCACTGGGACTAGTTTTATTCTGAGTTTTTCCCCTGTAACTCTCTACCACTTATACAAATGGTATGTCAGTTTAATACAATAAAATCCACAAAATATTGTATGAAAACATACGTTATTATATCAGTGAATGAGTGAGATATACTTCTTGCCCTTAGATAGTTATAATCTAGTCACGGATCTGAACATAAAACATTTATATAGTAATTCTCAGCTCTTTATAAAAAGTAGACTTCATTATAATATAAATGCTCTATGTTTGTACCCCTTCTCCATATTCCCCACCTTCCCTCGAAATCTCAGAAACCCACTCTTACCAACTCAGGATCTTTGCGACTAGCCAAAATGTTGCCCTTCTCCCCGGGGGCTTGCTTACTGGGACTTTTCACCCGGGGAGAGCTCTCCAGTGGAGGAGGTGGTGGAGGAGGTGGAGGCGCCACTTTCTCTTTACTAGGGGAGATGGTCTCCTCAAACCACTGCCCCAAAATAGGCTCACTGTCATCATCTGAACAGAGAAAGAAAACGTAACAAAATCAAATGTAAACGATTTTTGGTGCATCTGCCTGAGTCATAGGCAGTACAGGGTATCTTGACTAAGGTGATAATGGCAAGGTTCCATAAATTTGTCAAAACTTAGATCTTCGTATGTCTAGTCAAAAAGATCATTTTATTGTATGTATATTACACCCCAATAATTTTATTAAAAGAACCCATAAAAGGAAGAAAAATTACTTTACTGGTAACAAGTCAGACATTCTCAAGAGAAAATGTAATACTTACCAACTATATACCCTAAGATGAAAATCATACCTCTCTCAATAGTTTGTATCGCTCCCTTACACCCAACTTGAAAGAATCCAGGATATTTACCTTAATTACTGTCTCTCCAAACTAAGGCAGGATTCAGTCTTAGTTTGGTCCCGCTGCTATGCTTCCCTAAGACACAAATCTATAATAGCTACTAAACAAAGACCTCACTCACGTGTGACCTTTTGAGGTTAATACGAAAAGCTCAGCGCAGGTCACAAAATGGATAACATAGAAAGAAACACGAATAGTTGGGATGTACTTTGATTTTGGAGAGAAAGGAATGAAAAGCGAACCTGGGCTTGGCTAAAAGCAAGCAACCATCACTCAGTCTTCAATAGTTCAACTTGCTTTTAAATAACGTCATCTTTGAGCGCTTATAAAATCAAGATACAAGCAAGGCTGGCAAAAACAAAATGGCAAACAGGAAACCAACAAACCCTGCTAGAAACCCCCTGAACGCACCGTGTAGTTTATCTCTGGGCTAGAGAAAAGAACAGCACCTACCTTGGCTGCTGTCCTCCTCCGTGCTACTGAAATCATCCTCGTAGTAGGTGTTTGAGTCAGTGGAGGCACTGGCATCACTGCTCATGGAACCCTTCCTCTGCCGCTGCAGGACACAGGCCTAGGAAAACAGTAAAGGCTATGAGACTGGAACCATCCTACTTAATCTTACTGATCATAGGAAGGTTTTCTCCATGTTCAGCTTCTTTGGAGGATTTTTTATGAGTTAAACTTGGGACCAGCACTTGGTGTAATGGCTATGCTGCTGGACTCCCAGGCAGTCGACCGTGGTTCAAGTCCCGGACCCAGTGCCTTAAACTCATGCTGGGCGTGTGTGTGTGTATGCCCAAGATCCTAAGAAGAGAATGGAGGAGAAGGGATTACGGCATGACCATCCCCCCTGGGGGCTGATTTCTCGCTTTCTGTCTCTCTGTCTCTCTGTCTTTCTGGCAAGTGCAGGAGCCCTATAGCAAAAACCTCTCCAAAAAAAAAAAGTTAACCTTTTTCCTTCTCCTAAAAAAAAAATTAAACTTTTTTCTAAATCTGAGAAGTACTTCTAAAAGTTCAGGGTTCTTAACACTTAATCCTACAAAGATATGGACAAGAGATGTAGACAAGAATTGAAAAAAGGACGGTGGCTCTATATTTTTGTTTCAGTACACCAACCACCACAAATCACCAGGTAGTCCCACGTATCTCAATACTAATAATCGGTAGCTAACTCAAATGTTTGGACACTGAACTAGTTAGGAATTCCTTCCCTTGGGCCAGCTGATGGTGTAGTGGTTAAAGTGGCTGGACCCCACACAGCCAAACAGAGCAGTTTAAGTCCTAGACCTGGCGGTTTAATAGACATGCCGGGCATGTGTGCCCATGTCCCCAAGATTGAAAAGGGAGAGAAAGAAAAGGATGCAGTATGATCACCTGCAGTGTGTGGGGGACGCTTTCTCACTTTCCTTCTCACTTGCTCTGTCGCTCTCCAGTGAGCACAGGCACTCTCTAACAAATTTAAATAATAATATCAAAAATTTCTCCCCTCTTCAAAACTATTACCACTCAGGACCAGCAGGTGTCATAGTGATTAAGGTGCTAGACTCCCACATGGTTGACTGCGGCTCAAGTCCCAGACCCAGCGGCTTAAAACTCACAGCAAGCGTGTGTGCGTGCATGCTCAAAATCCCAAGAAGAGAATGGAGAAGGGACTGTGTGCAGCATAGCCATTTCTTACTGGGGGTGATTTCTCGCTTTCTGTCTGTCTCTCTCTCTCGGGCAAGTGCACATGCCCTATAGCAAAAATCTCTCAGAGCTAAAAGAGAAAACTATTATTACAAGTTGGGGTTTATCAAGGTCGTGGTTTATAAAGTCTGTCCTATTCAGCTCTAGAAGGTATATAACTGTGAGACGTTCTTATAAATCATCAATGGTTTGATCCCTCACCTACCTTTCTGTAGGAAGTTGAAAGCAACGTCAAGAGTAGATTGGTCAAGGGGACAGAGTCAATCAGACGCTGAATTCTCTGTATGGAGGTGCTTTGGGCCATAATGCTCAGGGCCGCAGGAGGACCATCTGTCTCCCAGCCCTGAGGAAATGACAAGGGAAAACCAATGTATCATGCAGCCAGAAAGAACCACCAGGGTGAAAGATCCAGCTAGCTTACCCAACATTGGGTGCAGTAACTGGTATGTGATTCTCACAAGTACAAGAGCCTCACCTTGTGAAGAGCCTCCACTTGCAGGTCTTGAAAAAGTGATGTTAACAGTTTGATGGCATGGTTTGCTAATATTACTGAGAGCACCCCAAATCCCTGATGCCTACACAAAGACAAAGGAAAATACAAACTTTAAAATAATTAACAATGAGAGGCCAGCAAATGGCATAGTAATTAAGGTGCTGGACTTAGACTGTGGTTCGAGTCCTTAAACTGCCAACTTGCTTTCTCTCTCTTTCTCTCTCTCCCTCTGAGCACATGTGTCCTATAGCAAATTTAAAAACATAATGATAATAACAAATAATTTTTAATTAACAGTGAATTACAACCTCTAGAACAGTGGATCTTGCAATTTTGAGGTCCTCAACCCCTGCAACAATCCATGGGCCTTCTCCTCCCAAGAAAATTGTACATACAGACATAATTTGTATATAATCTGAGAAGTTCATAACCCTCCTGAAGCCTATTCACGAACTACCATTGATTTTTGAGATAAATCAGCTAACATCACTGGTCCTATAAAGATTCTGACACAGGAGCCAGAAGGTGGCATGGTGATTAAGGCACTAGATCCAACATGACTGACTGCACAGTTTGAGTCCCAGACCAGGTGGCTTGGAAAAAAACCCAGTAGGTATATATGCATGCATGTCCAAAAATCCCAACAAGAGAATGGAGGAGAAGAGATTATAACATAGCCATCCTCCCGGTGGGGAGTGCTTTCTCAGTTTCTCTCTCTGTCTCTCTCTCTCTCACTGTCTCGCACAGGCAAGCCCACACATCCTACAGCAAAAAAAAGTTTCAAAAAAATGCTGACATGCATATGCTAATTAAACTTCTAAAGAATCATTCTTTTGAGAAAATAAATGTTAAAATGACCAGCTTCTTTAAAGTACCTGGGAATAAATCTAAGAGAATAAAAACAAAAATTTTGTATTATTTGAGTCTAACCTTTCCTTTCTGTCCAAAATAAGCACATGACAAAGGGTTAATATAATGAACAAGTTCATGTAAATCCGTTAGAAAAAAGAACAAACACCAGAGAAAACGGAGGCAAAGGGAGTAAGGCAGTTCAAAAACGAAGATGCGCAGGTGGCTGAGGAGTACGTGAGGAGGAGACAATCACACAGTAATCAGAGACACGCAAAGGAGCAGTGTAGCAGCACTCGACTGCTCTAGGACGAACAAACACAAAGACTAAGGGCAGCCGGTGTCACAGAGGTGGCGGGAGTGCAAATGAGACTTTTCTGAAAAGTGCTTCGTAAACACTCCAGATTTTTGAGTATGTGTGTCCTCTGTCCAAACAACTGTACTTCTAGGAATTCATCCCAAGAGGATAATTAAACAAGTTCCCAAAAAAATATGTTTCAGAAGGTTTCTCACTGGACCAGCAGTTAGCGTAATGGCTATGTCGCTGGACTCCCACGTAGTCGACCGCGGTTCGCGTCCCGGACCCGGTGGCTTAAACTCACACCGGGTGCATGTGCATGTGCGTGACCAAGATCCTGAGAGGAGAATGGAGGAGAAGGGATTGCGGCGTGGCCATCCCCCCTGGGGGGTGATTTCTCACTTTCTGTCTCTCTGTCTCTGTCTGTTGGACGAGCGCACGCGCCCTATAGCAAAAAATTCTCCAAACAAACAAACAAACAAAAAAAAAAAGGTTTTTCACAACATGATTTACCAAATCAGGAGACGTGCAACAACCTTGTAAGTGCCCACTGACGGGGAACCACCAGCTACGGCATAGTTACACAGTGGCATACGACTGGCCATTAAAAACTATATAGACTGTGATAGTCACTGAAAAGATGTTTACAGGATTCTGTACAGGATAATCCCACTTACATTAGCTTCCCTATTTTATATACGGGTACAGAAAAATGTCTGGAAGAATGTTTTCCAATTGGAGTTAACTTGGGATGACCTTTTTCCTTTCTTATTTATGCTCATATTTATACTTATTTAAGTTTGAAACTCATAGGGCGCACATGTATTCTTTTTCAATCTGAAGAAACAATAGCTATTTTTAAAGTGTAACTGCTATTTCTAATAATATACTCCTGAAAAAGAACTAGACTTCCCTAGTCTCTAGAAACAGTATGATGTGTATTTGTTTGAAAATCTACATTGTGTCTCTACAAAATGTGTCAATTTTTTTGTTTGACACAGTATTCCAGGACTAACACAGAGCCTGAGAAAGAAAAGATACTGAGTGAGTAATTTGTTGATAAGGTCTAGATTAGACCCCATCCTTGAATGACTCCCATAGCTCACTGGCCACTCAACACTTTACATATAGGTCTAGATCTAACAGTCATCTCAACCTCAGCACGGTCAAGGTAAAATGACTCCTTCCCATTTCTACACTCGACCAACTCCTAACCCAGTGATCCTGACCTCAGTAAATTATACAACCCCGTTGCTTAAGCTCACACACCCCATCAGCCATACCTTCCACACATATCCCAATCTGACCTCTTCCCTGCCTTTCATGGCCACTCTACTCCAAGCTGCCTTCCCCTCTCATCTGGAATGATGGGTTAGCTTCCTGACTGCTCTCCTCCTTCCAGTCTTGTGCCCCTATAGTCTCCCCTCCATACAGCCACCAGCTTTTCAGCTCACTGACAACTATTTCTCACTTTCTGTCTCTCTGTCTCTCTCTGTCTGTTGGACGAGCGCACGCGCCCTATAGCAAAAAATTCTCCAAACAAACAAACAAACAAAAAAAAAAAGGTTTTTCACAACATGATTTACCAAATCAGGAGACGTGCAACAACCTTGTAAGTGCCCACTGACGGGGAACCACCAGCTACGGCATAGTTACACAGTGGCATACGACTGGCCATTAAAAACTATATAGACTGTGATAGTCACTGAAAAGATGTTTACAGGATTCTGTACAGGATAATCCCACTTACATTAGCTTCCCTATTTTATATACGGGTACAGAAAAATGTCTGGAAGAATGTTTTCCAATTGGAGTTAACTTGGGATGACCTTTTTCCTTTCTTATTTATGCTCATATTTATACTTATTTAAGTTTGAAACTCATAGGGCGCACATGTATTCTTTTTCAATCTGAAGAAACAATAGCTATTTTTAAAGTGTAACTGCTATTTCTAATAATATACTCCTGAAAAAGAACTAGACTTCCCTAGTCTCTAGAAACAGTATGATGTGTATTTGTTTGAAAATCTACATTGTGTCTCTACAAAATGTGTCAATTTTTTTGTTTGACACAGTATTCCAGGACTAACACAGAGCCTGAGAAAGAAAAGATACTGAGTGAGTAATTTGTTGATAAGGTCTAGATTAGACCCCATCCTTGAATGACTCCCATAGCTCACTGGCCACTCAACACTTTACATATAGGTCTAGATCTAACAGTCATCTCAACCTCAGCACGGTCAAGGTAAAATGACTCCTTCCCATTTCTACACTCGACCAACTCCTAACCCAGTGATCCTGACCTCAGTAAATTATACAACCCCGTTGCTTAAGCTCACACACCCCATCAGCCATACCTTCCACACATATCCCAATCTGACCTCTTCCCTGCCTTTCATGGCCACTCTACTCCAAGCTGCCTTCCCCTCTCATCTGGAATGATGGGTTAGCTTCCTGACTGCTCTCCTCCTTCCAGTCTTGTGCCCCTATAGTCTCCCCTCCATACAGCCACCAGCTTTTCAGCTCACTGACAACTCAGGCCATGTCTGCCCCCTGTTGAAAATGCTGTAACTGTTAGTTTCACTTGCATGTGGCCCTAAATGATGTGGCTGCTGGCTGCCTCTCTGACCTAATTTTCAACTGCTCCCTCCTCCAATTTCTCCACTGTAGCCACACTGACCCTGCTGAGCCAAGAGTATTTCCTTCTCAAACCTGAACAAATCTACCCCAAATACTAATGTGGCTCCCTCTGTCATTCACATCTGGTCTCTATGTCCTGTCTTCAGAGCCCTTTCCAGACCATGCTAACTAACAGCTCCTGTCACTCTGTAGCCCCTTGTCTAGCTTTGTTTTCTTCGCCACACATTAACTGTATGTGACAATCTATAATTTACTTGTTGATATATTTGTTCACTGTTTCTGCAGTTACAAAATAACTTTGCCTACATCCCTGCAGGCAAAGATGTAGCTATACTTAGGGCTATATCTTCAATGGCTAGAATAGAGCCCAGTCCATGGCAGAGCCTCAATAAAGTCCAGAAACGCCCAGGCTTCGAAAACAAAACCTTGAACAATACATAAGTTATTTCTCTAACTTCTTTCCTTGCAGACAGGGCTTACTGCCCAGAATGCATCAAAACAGTAACACATTTTAGAAAGCAAATCAGAAAGACCTGACAATATCCTCACCTTACAGGTTAAACATGCAAATGAGCCCTCAATTCCAAGTCAAACAAGCCCATTTACAAAACAGAAGCATTCTGGCCTGATCTGAACCTCAGAAAAGTCTTTAAATATGTAAAATATGTATTGCATGGTTATCTTCTCCCCCATGGGCGAAGAGATAGGATCAGAGGAAACAATGACTTATCTGAAACAGTAAACAGTGCAGCTAACGTGTGGTATCCTCTCCTCCATCACCTTAGCTGTTAAATCCATGCCAGGCCGAGGGCAAAATGTCCCTTCTAACATGGAGAGGAGTTACCTCAGCTCCTCGAGATAAAATGTCAAAGGAACAAACATAACCAACGCTGAGCAGCAGTGAGCAGGCACATACCCTTTTCCAGGTCCCAGTTTAGGAGAGCCCACTCCCTCTTTGGTCCGAGAAAGGATGTCTCTGACTCGCAGGGCAGCCAGCGGATCTTTCTCCTTCCCCTTATCAGCCAACGCAGTAGGACTGAGGTTCAATATGAGGAAAAGGCTGTTTAACAAGCACCAGGCACCCAGCAATTGGAAGTTCTGATAGTGCTGTAATAAAAGGCACAAAATAAAAATGTAAACATACGAGATATTCTCATCTTAGAGACTACAAGACCAGAACGCAACAGAAATATGCTTCTTACCTCACCGCCAGCCCGGCGGGAGCTGCTGATTGCTTGTCCAATCATGTCATAGATTTCCAGCTGTCCAATATCAAACAGACACAAGGATCTAAGCAAGCTGGCATTTCATTATAAATGTTAAGTCCCAGCCAAATCAATTTAATTTAAAGAGCTAAATACCCTCACGTCACTTTCTCCATGATACGAGTCGCCACACCTTCCTTGAGCCTCACAGTGAAGTAACTCTCTCTTTCCATTCAGCTCAAATGTCACCTTCTCAGAGGAGACCCTTCCACATAACCCACAACATGCCCAGCCCCACAACAGATGTCCTATTTTGTTTTGTTTTTAATTCTGCCAGAAGGTGAGTGCACTCACCAGGTAAGATAAAGTGAGAAAGCACTCGAGCACTAGCACCGAGTATGGTCACACCTCATCACTTCTCCATCTCCATACTTTCAGAATTTTAGGCACACATGCACACACACGTGCTCAGTGTGTTTCTCAAGTCACTGGATCTGGGACTCAAACCTTATGGTAGGCCACATGGGATCCAGATACCTTAACCACATCTTAACCACACCACAGGCCAGCCCCGTCAGATCAACTTCAATTCCAAGTGACTCTTTCTGTGCACTGATCACTATCTGAAATGACCACATCCATTATGTCTCCCCTAAAGTGCTCTGACACAGAGTAAGCGCTCCAGTGTACTTGCTGAATGAATGACTAGTCCTTCACAAAGCCCGCAGCCACAAGTCAGTGTCTTCTCCAGAGCCAACAGAGAAAGGTAAGCATTAGGGGAAAGAATGAAGAACATTCTAAGTTCTTTCCTCTAGCAAGGAAGAAACAGAATGGCCACATTCCGTCACTTCAACAATCAAGATATGCACGTCCTCAGACAGGGAGCTTACACATTTCTGGACAATGGTAGCAGCATCACTTTCATAGTCGTCTTCTTTGGAGCTCGTGGAGCCTGTGCGCACTTGCTGGGTACTACCCACATGAAGGATGGCCATGCAGGTTGCCACACTCACACCTGAAGAAAAGATACACAGATTCCAATCACGGAGTGTCCCCAAGAGTCCACTAAAACTGAAACACAAAAACACATTCCACCCACACGAAATTCCGTGATTTGGTCATAACAATAAACTCCTTAAGAGCAAGACTGAAAACAGTCTCACCATACAATCTAGCAATCACACTTCTAGGTATTTATTCAAATGAACTGAAATTTCATGTCCACCCAACAAAGTATACGTGAATATTTATTGCAGCTTTATTGTAATTGCTAACAATTAGAAGAGAACAAGCTATCCCTTAACAGATGAATAACAGGTGCCGGCAGATGGTGTTGCTGTTCCATTATTGGATTCCCACGTGGCCAACAGTGGTTCAAGTCCTCGACCTGAAACTCAAGCCAAACATATATGCATGTGGGTCCAAGATTCTAGGAGGAAAACAGAGAAGGGATTACAGCATGGCCATCCCCCCTGGGGAGTGATTTCTCATTTTCCGTCACACTATCTCTGTCTCTCTTTCTCTCAGATGAGCACAAGCATCCTAAGGCAAAAACCTCTAATTAAGGAAATAAAATAGAGGTCAACAGGTGGCATAGTAGTTAAGGGCACTAGACTCCCACTTGGTTTAGCACAGTTCAAGTCCCAGACCTGGTGGCTTGTTTTCTCGCTTTCTCTCTATCACTCTTTTACTCTGTCTCTCTCCGATCAAATTAAAATAAATGAATACGTTCTTAAAAAATAATTAAAATAAATTAAAAATAAAGTTAAATAAAATAATTCTTTAAATAAATAATTAAAATTTAAAAAGGTGAATAATAAACTGTGATACTTCCATATGATGGCATGGCTTTCAGCAAGTAGAAGAGATGAGCTATCAAGCCAGAAAAAACATCAGGAAACCTTAAACTATATTGCTAAGTGAAAAAGATCCAGTCTGAGGCTGGTCCTATGGCCTGCTAGTTATGGGAGCCAGATACCACATGGTCAACCAAAGCTCAAATTTATTTTTTTATTTAAAGAGAAGTTTTTGCTATGGGACACATGCGTTTACAGGAGACACAGAGACAGACAGAAAGCAAGAAATCACCCCCCAGGGGAGATGGCCATGCTGCAATCCCTTCTCCTTCAGTCTCCTCTCAGGATCTTGGATATGCATGCACGTGTGTGCACCTGGTGTGAGTTTCAAGCTGCCAGATCAGAGACTCAAACCGCAGTTGACTACGTGGGAGTCTAGCCACGTAACCATTATGCCATCTGCTGGTTCCCAACCAAGGTTCAAATTCTAACCCCATCAGCCTGAAAACCACGCCGGTGTGGGCCAGCAGGTACTGTGGAGGTTAAGGTGGCTAGATCCCCCATGGCTGATTGTATGGTTCAAGTTCCAGAGCTGACGGCTTGAATATTGCATTGAGTGCATGCATACCTAAAATCCTGAGAGAAGAATGGAGAATGGATTGCAGCATGGCCAGCCCCCCAGGGGGGGTGCTTTCTCACGTTCCTGCTCTCTATTTCCCTTTAACACCCTCTGGCAAGTGTACTTACACTACAGCAAAAATAAAAATAAAAACATGCTGGGTGCATATGCATGCATGCCCAGAATCCTAACATGGAGAAATGAAAAAGAGACTAAGTGACCATGCCCCCATAGGGGGGTGCTTTCTCTTTCCTTCTGTCTCTCTCTGACAAGTCCCTGCAACCTCCGACAAAATTAAAAATAAATAAAAAGAAGGCAGTCTCAAGTATATACATTACAATTCCAATTACATGACATTCTGGAAGAAGTATAACTATAGAGACAAAAAAGACATCAGTGGTTCACCGAGGTTGGGAGGAATAAGAGGTAACAGGCAGAGCACAAGGTATTTCAGGGCGATCAAACTATTCGATGTGACAGGGTGATGGTAGATGCATGGCATTAAACACATGCCCAAACTCATAGAGCTATACAACACAAACAGGGAACACCAACGTAAACCATGAACTCGATTTAATGATGATGTAGTAACATTCATCTTCAGTGATAACAAATCAACTATACTAATTCAAGATGCTAATGGGGAAACTGTATATGTAAGAGTGGCGACTTAGGAGAACTTTATACAGTCTGTTCACGTTTTCTGTAAACTTCAAACTGCTTCATAAATAAAATTGAGTCTTTTTTTTTTTTTTTTTTTTTTGGAGAGGTTTTTACTATAGGGCGCATGCACTTGCCAGAAAGAGAGAGAGAGAAAGCGAGAAATCCCCCCCTGGAGAGGGGGTTGGCCACATCACAATTCCTTCTCCTCTATTCTCCTCTCAGGATCTTGGGCACACACGCACATGCACCTGGCGTGAGTTTAAGCCACCAGGTCTGGAACTCAAACCACAGCTGACTACATGGGAGTCCGGCCACAGGGCTACTGGACCACCATCTGCTGGTCCCTTGAGTCTTTTTTTTGTTGGATTATTTTTTTTTTTAAGATTTTCCCCATAAGGCATATGTACTTACCAGACAGAGTTTGTTAAAAAGAAACAGAGGGAAAATGAGAAATTCCATCCAAGGGAGGATAGCCATATGGCCATAACACAATCCCTTCTCCTTCATTCGCTTAGGATTTGGGGCCCACACAGAAACCCATAATGGTTTTTAAGTCACCTCATCTGGGACTTGAACTATGGTCAGCCACGTGGGGGTCAGCAGATCAGCCACTTGCTGACCCCAAAATAAATAAAGGTTTAAAAATAAAAAATGCCATACTTGATATTTCTCATACACATCAAAGCCAAATCCTTTCCATATATCAGCTCCCAAGTGATCAAATTTCAGAAACAAACCAAATCTGTTATCTTTAATCTAACTATGAATTTTTTAAAAAATCTTTCGGGGGACAAGGGGTGAGGGGGACCGGCAGGTGGCATGGTGGTTAGGGGTACTGGACTCCCACAAGGCCGATTATGGTTTCAGTCCTGGACCTGGTGGCTTGCTTTCTTACTTTTTCTCTCTCTCGTTCTGTCCCTCTCTGGTCAAAATAAATAAATAAAGTTAAATAAAATAACTTTTTTAAAAAAATCTTTCATTTGTATTAGCTTTAATCACTTTTTATTGACTGAGTACACACAGATTCGTGTGACAGTTAAAAATGCCCCAAAAACTGAAGTTAAGAAAGCCCAAGTTAATATATCAAAGGTGAAGCACCGGGACGCTAAGCACTGGAAACAGGCTTGGATAGGACACGTTCTCTCACGTACCCTCGGCTTTCTGCTCTTCATGCTGCTGCTCGGGTTGTGCCTCGCTGAATGGCTACAGACCCCTCCTAACCCGTCTCCTTACTTACTTCCTCACACCAGTGTCCTGCACAGCACTGCCTGTGTTCCCCTCCTAACCTGTCTCCTTACTTACTTCCTCACACCAGTGTCCTGCACAGCACTGCCTGTGTTCTTTTGGGCCACAGCTCAGATCTCTCCCACCTCAGATCTTCCACAGTCTCTGGGTCTGGTGCACACGACACAGCCTGTATTCTCAGTCCTTCTTTCCGTCCAGTGATACAACACTCGTGAATACCCATAAAACCTACAGACGTACTTACACACACGTACACACACACGGGCGCGCACACATATACACACACACAGGATGCTCCCCCTAACTCTAGGATCCCTGGTTCTGCTTTTGCCTCTACCTACAGATAGCCAAGCTTACATTTTATCCGTCTGCTGAGATGTAACATCAGAACTCCTGCATGGCTACTGTCTAGCCCAACTGAAAGTGAGCCTGCCTCCCCTAAACTTCCACAGCACTTTCTCCTCCTTCTCAATTTCTTTTACATAAAGTTCTTTACTAATATGCTCTAAAAGACATTAAGGTCTTTGACAGCACAGATATCTTTAATCTTCTTTTTTTTTAAGTTTTTGCTATCGGGCATGTGCACTTGCCAGAGAGAGAAAGTGAGAAGTCACCCCATAGGGGGATAGTGACACCACAATCCCTTCTCATCCATTCTACTTTCTGCAGTTGGTGCATACACACACAGGTGCCTGGCATGTTTTCCAAGCCACCAAATCCGGAATGCAAACCAGTCAGCCATCTGGGAATCCAGCACCTTAACCACCATGCCACCTGTTGGCCCTGCCTTTATTTTATTTTTGGTTTTTTTTTTTTTTTTGAGAGGTTTTTGCTACAGGGCACATGAGCTCACCAGAAAGACAGAGAGACAGACAGAGAGACAGAAAGCAAGAAAAATCACCCCCCGGGGGGATGGCCATACCGCAATCCCTTCTGTTCCATTCTCCTCTCGGGATCTTGGGCACACACGCACATGTGCCCAGCGTGAGTTTGAGAGTCTGGGACTCGAACCATGGTCGGCTACATGGGAGTTCAGCAACATAACCATTACACTAACTGCTGGTCCCAATTTTTATACTTCTATTTACACACAGATATCAAACTAAAGCTCTTCAAACAAAGTAAGGAGATCAATCAACCTCAGTAACTGCTTGGTGCTCCAAGGTCAGGTTTCCTCTGTTCACATGCAAAATCAAGTAAACTTCTGAAATTATTACCCCTTCTAAGACATACGAGGGCTACAGTACATCTTGGAATTTAACACCAAGTATCAGAGATTTAGGTTAAAAAGAACTTTAGCGATAACTCAGAAAACAGTAAACAATGTTTCTACTTCCAAGGAAAAATGATCACCAGGAAGAAGAGGGATTTTATGAGATCGCAAAGGATAACATCCTTCACATTTATTAGCATAAACATGTATTGCCTGTTCCATGAAGTCTTCAAACCTGACACCATAGCAAGGCGCGCGCTCCCCCTTCTTTGTGTGCCCAAACTATTCTGTACTTCTCTTCTTGCCACTATCCTCCCTGTTTCGTATTATATTACTTAGCCCTGTTTCTCTTCCACTGCTTGGAAACAGGCTTCCTGAGGCAAGGACTACATACTGTTCATCTCAGTATCCCACCAGTCCTTGTCATCTTGCTTTTCATATACTATTTAATATTTGCACATACTGTGAACTCGAGTACGCACATAACACCATGCCAGCCATTCAGCAACAGGCCCATGTACAAAGATTCCTGTTGCAACTTCATTTCGCCTAGAAAAGACACTGGATGATTCCTGCGGGAAGGGAGCAAGTCAAGTGGGAGAGAGAGTAAAGCACTCAGGAGGGTTCTCACGGCTTCCTGAAAGTATCCCCGGGCTTGACTAGAAAAGGAGAGCAGACACAGCAACTTCTTACCTGCATACAGACAACTTAGGCTGAGGACTGTCACATCTTGCAGACGAGAAGGGTTGAGAGGTTCCAACACAGGTAGAGAGAGGGTATCCAATGCCATAGTTACATCAATCACCAGTGAATGAAAACTAGAACATAATAGAGAAAGTCAGCACACATGTCTCTGAGAACTGCTTACTTCTATAATTGAAGTTAAAAATCGCCATGTAATGAAAACTAATCAGTTACAATTTTTTTTATTACATGAAAGCACATACATGGTGGAACACCCTACCCATTACGAACAGCAGTGGCGTCTGCCACTGTTGCAGGCATGATGAAGAAAGAATTGGCCAACACTGCATCTTGGAACCGATTGATGTAGCGCAGGAAATACGGCAGATTCAAACACACACGCAGTAGCTTCTCTGAGCCACCTGCATTAGTAGAAAGGCACAATCTTACAAACAGGTCTCCATCTGATGTTTGGGTCTAAATATCTGAAGAAGCACACGTAGGGAATTGTTCTAAGCAGAGAAGTCCGCCTTTGGACAACAGTTAGGAGATTTACCAAGTTCTTGAAGACTAGCCACATTCTGAGCTATGAACACATTCTTGGTTTTGATAGCAGAGGCTTGATCTGTAGATGACTGCTCATCATTTTCTCCTTCGACCTAAAGAGACACATAGGACCCATCAAGGCACTATCATCTGTTCAGTACGGCCACCTGGGAGGTCAGAATCAAACCAACTGTGAAAAGCGAGCGTTTAGAGCCCGGTCACAGTGGTGCTACTGGTAGAGCTACTGTGTATGCTGGAACCACATGGGAGACCCACATTTGGCTCCTAGACCAATCCGAACCTGCTGGGCACAATAGTGCACGGCAGTAATCCTACCTTACTGGGAGGCTACGGCAGGAGGGTCATGATGTAGTAAGACTCTGTCAAAAGTACCTCTTGCCATCAAGTGGCATAGTGGTTAAGGGCACTAGGCTCCCACATAGACAACCACAGTTCAAGTCCCAAACCTAGCAGCTTGCTTTCTCGCTTTCTCACTTTCTCTCTCTCTCGCTCGCTCTTTCTCTGGTTAAATTGAATACTAATAATAATAAATAAAGTTGGATAAAATAATTCTTTAAAAAATAAAGTTTATAAAAAAAAGGAAGGTATCTCTCATAAAACAATAAACTTGAAAGAAAACACAAGCAGTGGCACTGTGGACAATCTTTAGCTCCTCAGTTAATTACAGGAAAATTCCCCAGCAATGTTGGAGAAAATTCAGATTCTTTTCCCAAGAGGAAGGGGAAAGTAAGTATATTTAAATGTATTTATATATTCTACAACTAGCATTGAGCAATGCCTTTTACAGGACACTATACAATTTATATTTGTTCATTTGCATTGAAAAATGCCTAGAGGAATAACCATCAAAACAGTAGTAAGTGAGCTGGTCCGTAACATCGTTAAGGAGGCTGGATCCTATATGGCTGGCTGTACGGTTCAAGTCCTAGACACAGTGGCTTGAGAAACATGCTGGGCTTGCGGGTGCACGCCCAAAATCGCAAAAGGAGGGAGAGCTGAAGAAGAGATTTTGGAGTGACCATTCCCCACGAGGGGTGCTTTGTCACTTTCCCTCTCTCTCACTGTCTCCGGTGAGCATACATGCCCCTCTCGAAAACTTTAAAAAAAAGTATTAGCTGTGGACCGTTGGGTGAAATTAGTTTTTCCTTTGGTGTTCTCCAGTTTTCTTTCCTACCATAGGCTTTATATGTTGTTTTACATTACAAACCTAAAATATATTACTGTTTTTCCAATGTTGTCATCTTAAGCAAATCCCACAAAGACGAGAACATTTGGCTGAAAGAACTCACCATCGTCTGTGGGCTGATGGGAGGTGATGCTACAGTTCTTGGGTTGAAAACTGAGGTCAGCTGGTTCAAAAAATTCATCTGTACCTCCTTCTGCCTCAGTTCAGGGCTTACTGGTGAGGCCAACTCTTTCTGATCTTCCACTGTAAAACATAAGAGCAGGAAAAAAAAAAAAGAATGAAGAGAGTATCACTAAAAGGCAGAACAAGACAAGGCTGACCACATCACGAGGTTGCTGCAGGGACACCCACCATCTGAGAGTGTCTTCACTGTCTGTGGCAGCTTGGCAGATTTCATCATTGCAGTAAATGTGATAATTTCAGTTCTATCTAGTCGACTACAGCCAGTGCACAGGCCCTTGATTAGGAGGATCAAGTGTTTCTGAAAGGAAAAATTCAAATATGTCTCTTCTAAGATGCCACTCTTTTGGGATAGAACTCAAAATTTAGGTTCATATAAAAAAACTGCAATTTGAGGAGTAAAAAATCTTCAGACAATATATATCTGGCTTATAGATGTCTTACTGCTCTCACAGTATTTTTTTAAGTTGAAGTTATTATAGCAAACTTCTGAAAGAGCAGAAGGAGCCTGGATGTCTTACATCTCTCAATA